ATTGAGGCAGTTAGTACTTAAAAAATTAGAAATATTCAAACCTTTCTGTACATATACGTCTGAGAAACACAGCCTTTATGGGGCCAAACAAAGAAAGCGTAATGTTTTGACATTCAGCACATGGCAACATTGCTTTGATAACCACATGGATAATAAAATAAATTTTATTAAAATTTATAATAAAATTTATTTTATTATCATGATAACTACTTGGCATGGATTGCCTAAATGTTTATACAAATGCCAGAGCATCCATATTTTTAGAATTCTCAATTTTGATCAGGCACAGATTTTCTGGGGGTAGTGCACACCTCCCCCAGGAATGATTTGCACCCCCCAGAGGCATTTGGCACCGCCCCCAAAAGTTTTTGCACCCCTGAAAATTATATCTATTTTGATAGTCTTATTTTTTATTATCTCAGATCTCGCCATGCAGGCCTAGAAAACAAATTTTGTTAAACTTTTTCGTTGGCCGGTGTTACCACCACCCCCGGCCAAAGCAAGCAACAGCACCCCCCCCCCCCAGATATTTATCCACCTCCCGAACAACAAAAATATGAAAATCTGTCTGTGATATCAAGACCAAAACATTTGATTTTTAGAAGAATGTACGGCTTTATCCAGTGTGAAACGATTGCAATCATGTTCTAAATGTCTTGGCAAAATAATTGGATATGCCACATTCCTTTTTGTGATGCTCAAAAAAGGGGGGTCCTAAAATGTGTATTTCAATGTGAAATTTTTTCCAAAAAAATGCGAAGCTGTTTTTTAGCGATAAGTCGGACCCTGAATTTCTTTGCAGCAATATTATTGTCAATGGGTCATTCCAGAAAAGATCCATACTCCGCCCACAGAGGAAATTTCTGCCGTCTGGAGGGGCAGGGGAGAAAAAATTGTTTTGTGAATTAAGTAAATGTATTAGGTCATCCGAAGGGGATAGGGGGGAATGACCCAATTTCAAGTCACTTTTCAACATCTGTTTCCCAAAATATTTATTGCAAACTTGCAAATTACGTTTCCAAGTTTGGAAATTGGGCGCAAACTCCCCAATAACGTTCACAAGTTCATCTCAGTATTTGAACTTTGTTTTTTATTAGTAATTTGTTCATCACTGTACAGAGCAATGCACTGTACATGTTTATTTTTGTTATTCAATCTCAAGAATGATTTCATGAAAATCAGGACATTAGCACAAACCCTGCATGAACAAACTTTCATAAACAGTACATTAAGGGGCGGACCATTAGAAATCCGGGGGGGGGGCTGAAAATTTTAAAAAAAATTTGTGCAAAGAAAAATGCCTGGAAAAAAAATCGTGCAGTCATTATGTCAGAGAAAAAATTCGTGCAAGCAAACAGCAAAGTACAAATAGTCTTGTGCTGAGGTTAAATGCATTAAAAAATTCCTGCAGAGACATGACCAGAAAAAAAATTTGTGCCGGAAACATTTTATACCCCCCTCCCGAGATTTCTAATGGTCTGCCCCTAAGGAATAGTGGATCTTGAAACAGAATAGTAAATTACATTACTCCGGTGTGAATTTTAAAACCATTTCAAAATCTCAAATTATAAAAACCCAGTATTAAAAAGCAATATAATTTGACACATCTTTCATACATCACAATATATCAACACAAAAATAATCCCAAATACCTTAAACAAGAGGAACCAGAGGAATTCTATGGCGTTCCGTTCCGGTCAAAATTAGTTATATTCATAACATTTAGGTATAACACCGTTGCAATATGTCGTAACTCTCAAAATAAAATTGAACCGTACAAAAATAAATTGAATCACACAAAAATAATTTTAACCGCACAAAAATAAATCGAACTCGCACAAAAATAAATCGAACTCGCACAAAAATAAATCGAACTCGCACAAAAATAAATCGAACTCGCACAAAAATAAATCGAAAGGAAACGCACAAAAATAAATCGAAAGGAAACGGAAGTGAACACAAAATCAAAAGGAAACGGAAGTCGCTGACTAAATATGCGGGTTTGGCGAAAAATGCGGATACGGATTGCGGATAATTTTTTTTATTTCATATATAATTATATACATAACGCGCAGATATATTATGTTGTCAGTCGTCAGGCTTATTATTGTGCTTTATTTAAAATTATTTAGTTCTATATTTATACCTCTATTCGCAAACCGTGAAATCTGTGCAAAAAATTAAGCTTTGCAGTCCGTGATTACTATGTTGTTAAAGTTTTAGAACTTGTAATTCAAGCCTCATTAACATTACCCTTCATTGACATTTTTTATATCTAAAGACCAGTTTTCCTTTTATGAGCTGAATTAATTTACGCGCTTGGTATAAAACACAAATTTGTTTATACAACATGATTTCGGGCTTCGTGGGTAACAAAAATTATAGTTTATTCTCAAGGTTTATTCTATGATAAAGAATAAAATTATTGCAACATGACATGAAAATTTCTCTCCAATTCCCAACAATTTATTTACAGCTCATTCCCAAGTTAGCGGGCATTTTGTATTTTGTGTTATGACGTCACTAGTTGTGCTTGTGAGATATTAGACTTTATAATTCTCCTTCTCCGACTGATACTCACAATACTAGTAGCGGAGAACTACCTCTCCTCTTCAAGTAAGTACCTAACACTCCGGGGAAATTGCATATTTCCAGTGCAAAGAAAAAAGTATAATATCTCAGAAGTGATTCAACGAAATTCGAATGAAATTTGATACAGTTAGTACGTGCATCTAAGCAAACATTTTGGAACGTTTGTGTGGTTGCTATAGCAATTCACTAATTACCAAGTTTCTCTCTTTTTATTTTTGTAACGTCTGCCGTAGACACTTTGGAACAAAATTTTTATTTAATTCAGTAGTTTATATATTCACCACAGCACCTATAAAAGCGATAATAATAAATGGAAATCACAAGAATTCCTCTCCTTTTTGTTGGAAGCAAAGCCGGAATTGGACAAATAAGACAGATAGACCTGGTAACTAGTGTGTTGCTATGACAACCAAGTAAACATTGCAAACTGTTTGCTTAGGTGCACTTACCAACTGTACCAAATTTCATTTAATTTCGTTGAATCACTCCTGAGAAATTAGACTTGATTCTTTTTACTGGCATCCTTAAGCACAACCGGTGACGTCATAACACAAAAATACAAAATGCCCGATAATTTGGGAATGAGATGAGCTGTGAATAAATTAAGGCCATTCTTCATCATTTTCAGGTACTTTTAAGTGATGCATAAAAATTGGGGAAAAATTTTCATGTCATGTTGTAATAATTTTATTCTTTATCATAGAATAAACTATAATTTTTGTTACCCACGAAGCCCGAAATCATGTTGTATAAACAAATTTGTGCTTTATACCAAGCGCGTAAATTAATTCAGCTCATAAAAGGAAAACTGGTCCTTAGATATAAAAAATGTCAATGAAGGGTAATGTTAATGAGGCTTGAATTACAAGTTCTAAAACTTTAACAACATAGTAATCATGGGCTGAAAAGCTTAATTTTTTACACAGATTTCACGGTTTGCGAATAGAGGTATAAATATAGAACTAAATAATTTCAAATAAAGCACAATAATAAGCCTGACGACTGACAACATACTATATCTGCGCGTTATGTATATAATTATATATGAAATAAAAAAATTATCCGCAATCCGTATCCGCATTTTTCACCAAACCCGCATATTTAGTCAGCGACTTCCGTTTCCTTTTGATTTCGTGTTCACTTCCGTTTCCTTTCGATTTATTTTCGTGCGTTTCCTTTCGATTTATTTTTGTGCGAGTTCGATTTATTTTTGTGCGAGTTCGATTTATTTTTGCGAGAGTTCGATTTATTTTTGTGCGGTTCAAATTATTTTTGTGCGGTTCAATTTATTTTTGTACGGTTCAATTTTATTTTGAGAGTTACGACATATTGCCACAGAGATATATCTAAATGTTATGAATATAACTAATTTTGACCGGAACGGAACGCCATAGAATTCCAAGCAATTTCTAACCAAATCGACACAGCTGATGCAACATTTATACTAAGATGGAGTATGAAATACAACATAAAATTTGAGCCAAGTCAAGCTTGAAAAACATCGAATCTCGACCACAAATGCAACCCACAGCTTTTTTTAAGGAGTTACAAACACACTGTTGTCCATTTGCCAAAGATTAGAGGTTATATTGTAATATTGGGTTAAGATTCTACAAAAATAATGAAAGTTTTTAGGACGAAAATTTTCGTTGAAAGCACGAGGGCACAAGCTTCAATCTTTCCCGCGAAATTTCCTGGTGCTACCACTTTCAAACAAGAAATATCCTTCCTGTGATTTTCAAAACATTCATGGAATCAAAATTCTGATGACTGACAAATGAACCAAATAACTAATTTTGGCCACTTTTACCACAGGAAGAATCGTAAGCTAAACTAGGCATGTATTGCATATTATGTCCGGCTCAAAATGGTCCAAAACTGTCGATGTTTTACGTCATTAAAACATTCTACAGTAGTTAAATTTAATAACTAGCCACGCCTTTTTATACGTATTGCTACAGAATAAGGGATTGCTCATTATTTATTGTACAGGGGGAGACTGAAGAGAAACTCTACAGTTAGAATATTTTTTCATTGCCCCCCTCTTAAGACAAGTAAAATTTTCAAACCCCCCCCCCTCAACAGGCAAACAAGAACATAAATTTTGGTGCCTAGCTTGTTATCTTTATTTAGAGAAACAAAAATTCTAGCTGTTTATTTAGAGAAACAAAAATAGATAATGGATGGGGACGAATTCCCAGACTAATTTTTTATCTTATCTGTTTTGCACAAAAGCAGCCTAAAATAAACCGGTGGTGTGTCAGGAATCTTAAGAGCACGCGTGCCCGCGTAACCAATAAATCATCCCCAGTTTCCCAAGTGATTGCGCGGTTGTTTATGCGCTTTATCTGTGGCTTTGTTTTCTGCCATGTGTGCGCTCGTATGTTGACCGCCTCTCGATAGAAATAATGTCAAAAAAGAAAAGAGTGGCTGTGTCGTTTGATTTAGAGTCAGTTAAACATCGTATGAGAGAAGAAGATGTTTACGCAGACGGTATTCGCAAGCATCTTGATGCGCTCAGAAATGTCGACATAAAGCGCGTTGCGTCGACACTGAAAGAAGCCGAAATTCTTCAAGTTTTGGTATGTAAGCTTGGCGTTGAAACATTAGAAACGTTAAGAAAAGCAGCGCAACACGTTCCGAGGAATATTTGTAGAGTTGTGAATGAAAAATCCTTACGGATCGACTACATCCATAAAATTTTCACACTCGTGTCGACAAATGTTAACATGGCAATACAAGATGTCGAGTTTTATGTAAACATAATGGAATCGTATTGTCCATCCCTTTTCTTGACGCAAGACGTGGACGACAAGCTATTAGAGCTAACTAAGTCGGAAAATATGTCGTTCATCAAGTTTCTTACGCCACCCGTTAGTGCGTGTCTTCGATGTGGCAAGTCATTGACGATGCGAAATTACCCTGCGAAGGTTAAACTTTTCTCTGTGAATGGTCCAATACCATGCTCCAAAATAACGCTGGAATGTAGAGATTGTTCCTGTGCTTATGGTGTATGCAATTTCTCGAACAAAGAGGGCACTCATCTCTATCCAATAGACACCAAAGTCAATATTGTGGAAGTGAGCAACATCACATATGTCGATTTGAAATTATATAAATGGTTCCCGTCTCTGAGGTAAGCAAATTATAAGGCCTGTTTCAAACGTCGCGCTTCTCATGTGCCGAACGCATTATCAACTGATTATCTATTGTTTTTAATGCGTTCGGCACATGAGAAGCGCGACGTTTGAAACAGGCCTAACATTTCATTTATATAGCCAGTTTGTCAGTATGACGACAATCGAAACACGCAAGTTGCAACTGTCATTTTCTCAAGTTCCTATCACTTCCGTGTTGAGTCGAGACAATATAAACAAATCAAAAGGACAAAAATCTTGCCTACCACAGTCCCAAATTTAATTTTCATTGTTTTGAAACTCTATTATTAATAAACGGTCAATATATTTTTAAATCTTATTCGGCAACATGTCCTGTGTTTTATCTTCGTATCAAACCGAAATATAGCATTGCGTGCTTTGATTGGTAACTCTGGCAGTTTGGGAACACATGTCATATGTAATGTGTTTACATATTTAACTACCGCAAAATAAATTTCATTCATTGGCACTGAATTTTGCATGTTTAATATTTCGTATCTTTGTTTCACGTTATATGATTTCGCCTCGCAAAGAACATCTGGAACCAGGGTAATAATAATGTGATTTAAAAATGGACATATTTTTTGAAAAAAATACTTTTAATTTGTCAAATGATATAGGAAAAATATTAGTCCTCGTAACTTCGTTTTGGATTTGTTATTTTTCGTCAGGAACTTGAGAGTTGAGAAATTGACAGTTGCACTTTGGCAAATTACTCCAAGCAAATTGCAACGTATCAACATTGCAAAATTGATTGCAATGTTGCAAATACTGTACTCAAGGGAACAGAACATCCGGTTTGACTAGTGTAATAATTGCAAAAATAGTTCACAGTTAAAAATAGTTAATAGCTAGTTAATAATTGCAAAATTCTGTTTTCTCTATATGATTGTGCAGTAATCATTGCTGGGTATCATTTATGGGGTTTGCTGAAGCATATAATGACATATTTGAAGAATGTATCTCTAAATACACAGTGGTTTTTACTGGGCATCGAGTTGAAGGTGAGAAATGCATAACTAATTGTGAAATTATCAGAATTTCAATGTAATTAATAAATTATATGGTTATGTAGTTGGGAGATTGATTCCGTATTTTTGTTAACCCACTGGCATTACCCTACCACTGATGAGTGAAATTGTATGGGGTATATGACAGAGTATGGTATAAACAAACTATAGATACATACTGGTACAATGCATTTGAGCACATTGCAAGCAAATAGACTATTAAATACATACATATTTTCATGTATAAATTTATAGACTCTACAAATGATGATCATGAAGAATCAACTGGGAAGGAAACTATAGGTTTGTAATTTATATTGCCTATTTACCAGTAACAATATAATTTATTTAATTAATTTAACGGGAGTTTGTTATTATATGTTGGAAAAATGTCTCTCAATGATTGGGCAAATTTGCTCTTAAATTTGTTTACAAACTGCAAAGACCAATAAAGCAGAAATCATACCCACAATGCCACTTCTATTGTGCCATCAAAATTATGTGTATTGAAGTGATAGATGGTCCTTCCCTATTTATGAGATGCTTCCAGGATAAATGGCAGTAAAATTACCATGAGTTTCCCCAACTTAGCTATTCTATTACAGTTGATTTCACATAACTTTTCCGTGAATGTTGCGAACTTCGTTTTCGAACTTCGTTGTGAAGTTCAAAAGTTCATACTGAAATTCACAAGTCTGTTTGTAAACAAAGCCTCTGATTGGTCCCTTAACAAAAATAAGCCAATTAGAGGCTAGGTTTACAAACCGACTTGTGAATTTCAGTATGAACTTTTGAACTTCACAACAAAGTTCGGGGCATGTAGTAAAACACTGACTACCGGAACACCACCATTTTGTTTGGGTTAGGTGGTGTTCCGGTGGTGTTCTAGTGGTGTTCCGGTAGTCAGTGTTTTACTACATGCCCGAAGTTTGGAACGAAGTTCGCAACATTCACAGAAAAGTTATGTGAAATCAACTGTAAAGAGAGTACAAGTACAATGTATGTTTTATAGATATATTTATTTTACCCAAAAATGGTGAATATATTGCATGTCTATGACAGTAATAACATTGTTCTGTATATTGTTAACAAGATAAACTTTGGGAAAGAAAAAAGCTTGTTAGCTTAACCCATTAAACTGCAGAACTTCGCCACTGCCAAGTAAAATTGTCTGGCATTAGACAAGTAAATAAAAAAGGAGGGCGCACTGGGGCACACAGCGGCTCAATGGGTTAACTAGAGACATTGTTAGATTTTTTGTTAACCCATTGAGCTGCAGAGCCTCCCCATTGATGAGTAAAATCGTCTGGCGTTAGACAAGTAAAAAAAAAGTAAGGCACACTGGGGCGCATTGCGGCTTAATGGGTTAATTCATTCTGTCTGATTGTCAAATTTAACTTGTTCTACTGCTAGTTTCACATCAACTTGGGTGTCAATTATTTCAGCACTAATTATGGCTACTGGTCCCATAAGGCAGGTGGCTACCCATTGCAGGTATTTTATAGTAAAAATGCCTGTGCTGGTAAAAGTGTTTGCAAACCATATGTGCTTGTAAAACATTGTGGTCCCAAATTGCAAACCATATGTGCTTGTAAAACATTGTGGTCCCAAAATGCAAGTTTCACTGTATATATGAGAACTCAACCTACCCCCCCCAAAAAAAAATAAAATTGGGCATTACCATTGATAGATCCATTGCAGTTATTACATGATGAACTTTTTACAATTTACAGGCATTTTACCTGGGGAGTTGTCTGCTAAAGCAATTGCTCGTTGTTTTTGGCAAAAAGAAGTTGAAGAAGAGCTGGCATCTTTAGGGCTTCGAGATAAATGGGTATTTGGTAAAGAAGGAGGATTGCTGTCTGGGACATTGGAAATGGCAATGGGAATGATTGATAAAATCCGTTCTGAGCAATTGTACACTCATGTTTGTTCTACACATTGTAGAAGCAAAGGTATTTTGAACATTTTCTGATTTACAGTACATATATACATTAACTGTCAAGCGTTCCACCTGTCCTACTCATTTTACGCCTACAGACTAATATAAATTTGATATATTTGTATAGTTATCTTCTATTTAAAACATTTGAGTATGAGTGTTTTATCAGATATGAAACACTTGACAAGATCTGATAAACATCTTACTTGTATAAGATCATCAGTTAAGGTTTGTGTAAGGTAAATGAATCTTCATCACATATAAAACACCTGATCAGTTTAGTGATTTCTTGATGTTTTTCTTGAGTTATTAAGCTGCAGAGCTTCCCCATTGACAAGTAAAATCGTCTGGCATTAGACAATAAGTAGGGTGCATTGGGGCACATTGCAGCTCAATGGGCGGGGTTAATGAGTTTTTAAGTTGTAGTAACAATTTAATCGCTAGCATCTTGCTTGGGACTTGTGTCCTCAGTGTTTATGCTTTAAATTTTGTAGGTTGTGGTAAGTTGTATGTTGCTGATGGCAACTGGAAACTTCGATATGCCCACTGTATGTGGAAGGTCCCTGTCTCGATCCCTGGATTTGGTCAGATTAATTATCCAAGTATTTGTCCTTTGTCGCCCAAGCGTGGACATGCATTCTGCGAGAAGCATTGCATCAAGGCTGGCCAATTGGGTTATCCTACGGAATTAAAGGAATTTTATAAACATTGTGGAGTTGCTAATGTAGACATTAATTCAGGTTTGTTTGTTTGTTTGTTTAGTTGATTAACCCATTGAACTAGATATGAGCAATCCAAAATAGTCATTAATTAAGGGTTTATTAGGTTTATACATTGTACCACAGAGTGTCAACTGAGCAGCATTTATATATATATATGTCACATTTGTTATAAACATGAAACTATTGGTAAAAAAAAACTATCCCATGAACTATTATTAGTCAAATCATGATCACTTGATATTGACCAAATTTCTTTCTAATAAGGATTATGGGGGAGACATTACATAATATCAAAGGGAAACACTGTACCGGTAATGTTTTGCTCTGTAATATTTCTCTCATCAACATTCAGGCTGCAATGTCACCCTCGGGCTAAAGCCCTCAGGTGATATTAGAGATTTTGAGCATGCAACCTTTTTGAATGACGACAGCAGTTCTTGCTTGAAATCAAATCAATGCCAATGGCAATTTGATGCATGGGTTTTCACATAACATAACATACTTTAGGATGTATGTATGTATAGGGTATACATACATACATACACACACCCACACACATGCAAGGTAATTGGTGAAGCTTAAATTAATAACTAAATATTTATAGAGAAATTTAGTCAATTCTAGACTTAATATAGTTATATATGTCTTTGTATAATAATTTGTAATTTGCTAATATTAATTTTTGTAGCACTTGAAGAGATGTCATCACAAATTGTACTTACAGGTATTACAGTATAATGGATAGTAATTAACCAGTTGCTATCTCAAGTTTTTTTTCATTAAGCTATTTAATAGTAATTGTTGCAGATTCCACTCCTACTGTAGTTGCATTGTATTGCTTTTTTACAAATAGTATAATTTATGTAATAAAATAATATTTAAGTTTCTCAACTTGCTTGGAATGGGCAACAACTTATTTTTGTTACCTTGTTTACAGATACCTCGTATGACAACATAGATGCATGTCTAGACAATTTTGCAGAAGCAAGTTATGATATCAACAATGACGATGTGAATGCATCTTCATTTCAAGGTATTTACTAAAACGCAGTGTGAGATTGTTGATAATTAGGCTAAAAGGTCAACTATGAAAGCAGTCTCCTAAAGTATGGTGCATTTCAGCATACTTATTAAAGTAGTTACTGAATTGTATTGATTCTTCTTTTTTCTTATTTTCTCTTTTCTTTGTTTTTCTTAGGAACTTCTGATTTTCTAAGTTCAAATCCTGGTTTTGTTGAAGATCAATCGCAGATTAAAGAGACTGTGTGTAACAAAGATACAGGTGGTCTTAAGGCTTATCACAGTTGGTCTCGTGGTATATTTTTTATTGTGAGCGCAGGGGGCCACATTGAGTATTGGCAGCCATTATATAGGTATGTATTTATTTTTTCGTTTCACTGTTATATTAAGGAAGGGTATTAAATAAATATAGATTTGCAGAATTGCTAAATCCTGCATTTATGTTCCATTTTCATATCCTCTAACAATTTCCAAGAACCGTAGTAGACACTGAAGTGATATTATTATCAACTCTTAAAACATTTGAAGAAATAGATTCTGTGTTTTTTGTTTTTTTTATTTAATAAATTTGATTTTATGAAACTATATTTAAAGGTCTGAGTCACCAACACAAGCTTTTTTGGTGACAATTTTGTGGTTGTACAGAAAATTTAAAGATCTCAAAGAACACCACTCTGATGAAGAAATTAAGGAAGCAATGTCTTCCATTTGCTTGGCTTATGACAATATGTGTCATATGGACAATCTCCGTGTGTCGAAGTCAGATCTCCCATTGCCTGAACCATTCAACGAAGCTTGGAAGTTGATAGCAAAAGTCATTGATAGGCTTCACTTACGAAATCATGTCGATGCCAAATGCAAAGAACTTTATGATGCTGATAAAATAGTTCCACCTGGTTTCAATACAATGGCCTGTGAGCAAACATTTGTTTGGGCGAGCCGATTTAAAAAGGTTATTTGTGCTATGCCCCATACCCATCAATTTTTCTTTCTGCATCGCCTTGTGAAATACAGAAACCAGTACACAGAAAAATGTCATCGTCTTCAAAAGGCTCCAGTTCTACCAAAACTTCATGTGAAGTAATGCAATTTTAATATTGTTATTATTGTAATGATTGCTAGAAATCAACGGGCCATTCCATATAATGTACACCCTCCCCTATGGACGCGAATATGTCTGAGGGGGTTTGAAAAAGCCATTTCTGAGGGGTTGTGTGCATCAGCATCCTTTGATCTAAGGCAAAACATTTTTAATTTCTGGGGGGGGGGGTTGCATCGGCACTTCTTTTTTTCTTTGGGGTTCAAATATTAATGAACTCGTCCATAGCCATAGGGGAGTGTGTACATTAAATGGAATGGCCCAACATAAGCATGCATATAAACAGTTTTGTGTATAGTATGGTCAGTTAAAGGGAATCTCCACTGCTGCAATAAATATGAACTGAATACATAGTGAAATGTATCTTAAATGTATCCTTCATTTGTAACTTGCTTTGGAAGTCCATTTGGAAGTAGTTTGCTCTGAACCATGGAAGTCGCCATCATGATTTTGATGACGTAACCATAGTCAGCCCAAAAATGCGTGTTGAAATTTTTACCCTCGTGCGTGGCGCTCGGGCATGCATCGAGTCTACTCAGTTTATTATTATGACATAATAATAAACTGAGTAGACTCGATGCATGCCCGAGCGCCATGCGCGAGGGTAAAAAATTCAACACGCATTTTTGGGCTGCTATGACGTAACTTGGTTGCTCGCCTATTTGCAGTGACTATTTGTCGAGCAACCAAGTTACGTCATCAAAAATCGAGATGTCGGCTTCGATGGAATCAAGGTACTGTAAAAGTACTCCCACATTTTAACTTATTGCCAGAAACCCTTCTACTTTTTGCTTGGCCGAGTTGACTTTTGTTACTATTAGGAAGGAACTGTTAGGAAGGAACTGTGTTAAAAGAAACAATAACTTTGCCGACGTTAACTGCGTTTTTTCACCGTATATATATACCTCTTCTATTTAAAACGATCTGACCTAATTAAAAGGTGTGTCCAAGATGTAAAAAAGTTCACAAAAAATTCGGCAAAGCAAAATTTTTGGCAATAACATGTGCAGGTATTTTAAATGTCCCCTATACTCTAGGAATTTATTATAGCACATAATCTGGTTATACTTTACAACATATATATTTCAACATATCCTCACACCTAGAATTCACGATTATCGTTAATTTGCGAATCGGTCTTATTATCGTGAATTTCTAACCGTAATCCGAACTGAATCCTGGTCCAACCTTCGCTTGTTCCCTCTTTATGCCTTCCTTAACAGTTCCCTCAATAATCCTTTTTACTTATTCTTGAAAAGTACCAATTATAAGTTGCCCAGTATGACTAAAATAAAGCCAGTTTTCCATTTCAAGCGTACCGAAACGTATCAGAAACATTTTTAAATTTCAAAATTTAGTGAATGTTGATTGGTTAATACTTCCGTAGTACGCCAAAACGTTGACATGCGACGAACTTTTCATTTTGATACGCGAATACACCCGGAAGTACGTGGGATTTATAAACCTCTTTTCAATCTGCGCATGCTCACCAGTACGTTTCGGTATGGTCAACTACTCAAGTATAGAGTCGCTCTTTAAATTCACTATTATCATGAAATCAGAGCGATTTGAGAATTAACGATACTTATGAATTCTTGCGAGGATGTCGTATATTTTTTATATTTTTGTATACAAATAATAAACTAATACCTAAGGCTAAGGTGTGTAATATATGTAAATAAAATGTATTTAGACTTATCTTGATGAAGTTCGAATTTATAAAATTTAATCAAAATTTCTAGATATTTGATTATTTGTTTTGCTCAATGCCTTGACTTAATAATATGACCAAAAAGTCAGTGTTTGCATTCTTCACACAGAAACGTACGTTTAAGTTTATTTGCATCTTTGGCCTTTATGCCACTGCAACTGAAATGTAGCCATTGGTCACATTTCGTGCAAACAATCATTCCTGCCGACTTTTTCCGCTTTTTGCAAATACGACACACTCCTTTGTTCGCCGGTTGGTTTTCTTCCGACTTTCTCTTAGGGTTTTCAAGGGAGCATTCTAAAAAAGTGAAAGCGACGTAAATTTTACCTTATACCACGAATATTTCTCAAATTACCCTAACTTGATCAGCGTTTGGTTCAAACATCTGATAAAACACAGCAGCCCATGTTTTAATTCGCTTCGTATCTTTATATCTGTTTTAAATAGTACTTTTCAAACTGTAATGTAACTTCTTTCCGTTCCTTTTCTTCATTATTAAGATAATTCATAATAATTTCATTTTTATACGGCTGAAAAATGAAATGCATAAAAATGAAAGTGAATTATTTCAACAACAAAGAACAGAAACGAAAATCTGTAAAAGAATTTAAAAAACTCATTAATAATTCATGAAGAAAACACAAAGAAAGACATAAAGCGTGTCGTATCTGTATATGTGATACAGATTCATGTTGATTTACATAAATTTTAACTTTGATTTTCTCGGCTTAACACGGCCGCTCATGTTGTAAATAGTACTAACATTACAGTTTTAAAAGATCTCTCAAATGACACAATAAAAAACTTCGGGGCATGGACACTTTAAATTCAGTGTTCCGTCTACTAATTTAAGTGCTTTGTCACTGGGGGTCTAAATTATGCAGAGGCCGTGGAAGCATTTCGAAAGTGGAGGGTCACTTTTGTATATGACCAAACTTTTGTATATATGGCACTTTCTTTAAAGCAAAAGAGGGTGTTCATTCAAGAAATACTTTTTTCGTTCACTTTAGCCCAGAAAAAGGGCACTTATACATGCCCCATTTGACTCCTCCTCCCGGTTCCGCGGCCTATAGACTCCTAGCCCAAAATTTCTATATTTCTTTATTAATATACTATATTAATAAATAGTATATTAATTGACATGGGCGAAATAGATAAATTTGTTTACCTACCTTTTGGCTCTATGTCTTCACCCATACCTATATAAAATAAACTTGGCATTCAATTTGATATACAATCAACACACTGCTATGCAAACGTTTTAGGCACACCCTTTTTTGGCTCTCACAAAAGTCATACAATTCTTACAAATAGTCATATCTAACTCAAAATGCAATCGAATGAGACATTAGCTACTAATCCGTGGTAGTTTTCGAAATTTGCATTGTAAACAGGAAGTACAGTTATCACCAAATGTATGGGATTTACAACCTTTTCCCAAAATTTAACATAATTTGAGCATATTAATTTGATTATTAAAATATTTTTATAATGATTCTATTGCAAAATATTTGTAGTGTTATGTGAATGTTGAAAATTTCGGTGATAGCTATGCATTGTTTTCAGATTCAAGTATATTCAACTGAAAGAATCGCCATTTTTAATCATTCTTCTTTATTGCTTTTATTGGGAGTTTGCATATAGAGGAGTTTGGTTATTTTGATTTTTCAAATATCAATAACTTACAGGGACGCCGGAACGATGTGAAGGCAAGGGGAGCAGATTTTCGTGAAAGGGCACTTTTGAATTGATATAATAAGAGATGTTTACAAAACATTGGGAGTTGAACTTCGCCTAATCATGTTTTCTATTTATTGGATGATAGGGATGTGAGGGGGTTTTCCGCCAGGCGATAACTGCACATGACTGCATTTCTTGCATTTTCTGAAGCAAATTCGTAAAAGAATAGCACTAACATTTCTGACAATTCGTAAAAAAATCATTACTATTCTCGTATGTTTATTTGTATTATTTCGTTATTTTATTCCCGTACTATTTTGTACGAGACAAAAAAGGTTTGCTCAAACGTTTGCACGGTAGTGTACATAGATACTTGACATCGCATTGCTTATATAGTTGATACCACTTTACGACTGCAAACACAAGACAATGCAACTACAAGCATGCAAAATAGAATTTAGTCATAAAATTAATGTGACATTGTTGCCAGTGTCAGTGCAGTCATTTAACATCACAACATACGCAAATCGTATACTTTTTGGGTATACGCACACTGACCTGAGTCATTTAAAGGAACTTGTTCCAAGGTTTCTCCGCTTTTTCGACTTTCTATAAAAAAGAGTCATGCATGTTCACCAGTAATAGAGATTTCATCCAATAATAAAAAAAAAGTGATTATTTTTCGCTTGCATTTTGCTCAAATCCAATTTGGAATAGATTTCTAACGTGTATTGCATAGTTTTTCACATCTTAATAAGGTCTTAATTTTAGCTGTATCACAACTGTATAAAATGAACAGTTGATGTCATTTTAATTAACTAGTATTTATAGATGATGATAAACATTTATTTTTAACAGATTAGGAATTACAGAAAAGGCTAATTTTTAGTTGACAAGTGAAATCGTGTGTCTTAGGGACCGTTTATTTTCTTCTTTCCAACAGTCAAACCCACACATACTACCAAGGGAGAAACGTGAACGGTCACAAATATACAAGTACAATATGAAAGAAGGGTGCGGTGCGACTTAATTTTTAATCCAGTTATTCTTACCAACAATAGCAGTCATTGCCTGTGCCACTACAGAGGTTCCAGATTTTGCGACGTCCACTTCGTTATTTTTTGTTTGAAGTTCCTCTTTCTTTCTTTTTAACTCATCGTTCTCTCTTTTTAGCGACTGGATTTGCTGTTCTAATCCGTCTATCCTTCCTTGTTGCTCCTTAATGCGTGCAAGAAAGCTATTCTTTTGTCTTGCTTCTTCGTTCGTATACCAGTCGTGAGCTTTTTCCATTCGCCTGTAATGCTCCATATTTAATTCATCAATCTCTTGATTTTTGGTAAGACAATCTGGGCATGGACCAGATACTTCGTCTTCGATGACGTTTTCTTCCAAAATATCCCCTTGTTTCTCTTCCCCCTCGGTGTCTTGATGGCCTAATGCTGTTGAATGAATATATGAATGTGTGAGTGACTAAAATCTGATTGGATCATATCATGGATATAAATCTTTATGTCAATCCTGAAAGTTATTTAATGAAAACAATGCTTTATAAGTCCGCTAATTATCATGCAACAGATGAAATTCGGTATTTGTCATTTTGTAACACATTTTCCTTCTTCGACAACTTGTGACATTTTTAAAAAGTTCTCACAATTAGAGAGAGCGAACAGAAAAATTTTCAAAATGAGAAATGCATTCTAAGAAGAACATGTAAATATGGCGAATTCCGTACATGGACCATTATAACCAGCAAATTGAATCATTAGCAGTGTTATATAAACACTAAAATATTCAATTCATGCAATATTTTCAATATTTTATAAAAATATCTGTGGCAACATGTCATAATGGCTTATCACATGTGAGCACTGCTGACCTATTTATGTGGTTCTTCGCAAAAAATGACTTAACATAAATGTGTACCTGTGTCTAGTTCCTTCAATAAATCTCCATTGAATGCAGATCGAGGGACACGAACGCAACAAATCTTTTTTGGAGTGTTCAGAAAGCGTGATCGATAGTCAGTGGTGGCATTTTTTATGCTTTTGATAATTTGTCGGACGCTTTCATCACTTGGCGCATTCAGGTTTGCGTTATTCATATGGTCTAAAGCTTTGGGGAGAACAAAGACAATAGAACGCGCCCCATCCATTCCCTTCACGTCGTTTCTCATCCATTCCTCAATCTAAAATCACACAACAATGATTACAACTTTGAAGGATAAATTACGTAAAAGGTATTTTAAGGTGGCTCCCTACACTTTTTGAATTAAATATTTTCTGATTCAGATATGATCTTCTGGACAATTATTATTTGTTTAAAAACGAAGAGTATCTGACTGGCATAACACAATTACTAAAGAGTTCGGATTTTTTCAAAAGCCGAAATTTTTAAAATCATAAAAAAAATTAAATAAAGAAATCATTTTATGAAATAAAAAATGGGGGCGACCGAACTTTTTCTAGTTAAATTACATTGGACATAAAATATCCGCCATGTCGTGACGTCATTGTTGCCATAGCAACGGCAGTTAGAAGTAGTTTTTTAAAAATTCAGAACTCCTTAGTTATTGTGTTATACCAGTAAGATACTCTTTGTTTTTAAACAGATAATAATTCTCCAGAAATTCATATCCAAATCAGAAAATTTTTAAAAAAGTGTAGCGAGCCACCTTAAGTAGCACTCACCGTTCACTTCATGGAATCTAATTCATATTAATTATCAAATTATTCACATATTATAGCAAGTAAACAAAGTTCGACTATAAATAGTCTTTGCTTTAATACACTGTATTGCCGTGATCAAGGCATAGTATGCGGTTAGAAGTTTCAAAATTGTGCGATATCATTTAAGTTTTTGTATTCTTATATAAACAACACTTAAGGTGAATTTATTGTACAAACCTTTGATTTATCCATTTGTAGTATCTGGATAGCTTGGACCATCAACCGTAACAAATCATCAGTTGTTGTGTCGACCTTCACTGTGACATCGTAAAAGGATATCACATAAGGTAGAAAATCTACTTTAAAGAATTCGTCCAGCATATTTTTACTCAATATCGATTCATCGTCAACTAATTCAGCAATCTATTAAATCAAATACCGTTGATTTGCATTAATTATAAGCTTTATTTGGATATTTGCAAAGTTAGGGACCGGTCATAAAGTGACTGCTAGGATGGGCCAGAGGAAATAAGGATGGGCTATGAAACTATTTTCATCAGTTTGGGCCATCAATTTGTTTTTTTGTGTAAATGGATGGGCCATGAAACACATATAGCCTGTTTGCACTAGAACTAGATTCGTGCGGTTGGGTGACAGTAAGAGAGAACTGAATTTTGCTTTACCTTATGAGATAAAAGACGATAAGCCGAATAACTGTTAGGTAATCTTTTGACCAAACCACCAAGGTGTTGTTTAAAATATGTGGCGTGCTCATCGATATTCTCGTTGGTTAGGCTCTCGCCCAGCTCAATGACATCAATTAAGGAGTGAGTATTAGCTAAGGAAAACATTTTCCGCCTTCTGTCCAAAAATGTCGAGGTTCCATCATCTTTTGTTACCAATTTCTGGAAGCAAATGGGTGCTGTTCTCTCAAAAGACCTGGGACAAAAAATATCATTCGATAAGTTCAAATGGACTACGTATTTGATATACAATCATATTGATGGGCGAAGTAGTATTAGACTGTTTGATTAAACCAGTATGTTCCAAGGGGTGCACGAAAGCGGAACTTCGTAAAATAAAGCCAGAAATCGAAAGCATTGATTAACGGTACCCCTTTTCACAATTTGTGCAGTCAGTTTAGCTCAAATTTTTGGAAAATTTGAAAAATAAATGGAAAATAAATGCTGAAATGAAACAAAACATTTATATAATATTTGACTGTTCGTTATATAAATTGACGACAAATGCACAAACTTAAATTCTCGAAGCTTTTGCCAACAGGCTGTTTAAGGTATGATGGATTTCCTGAATTTTAGTAAACATAAATATTAAAACATGTTTATACGTCGGCCACCAGACGAAAAAATAAGAAAAAGAAATATTCAATTCATTATAGTAATTTTTATATGAGCAAGTAATTGTGTAAAAATAATTAAAAATGATAAAATAATTAAGCAGCACTATTGTAGATGATTTTTCCTACCTTAAATCATCCTCCAATTTAAAATTCACCGTCAACAGAAACGTTGTTTCCGGTATCTCCACACCCCGATCGTGTGTTTGCGTGCCTATGCCATCGAACACGCACACCAACGGTCTTTTAAGAACGGATGCATGTGTTGGGTCATCCCAGCATATCGGAATTGTTGTTTTTGTTAAATCGGAAACAACAAATTCAGCGGACGATTGCGAGACCAAATGGAGACCAAACAATCTGGCGATCAGTTTTAAAGCCGTTGATTTCCCACTGCTCGGTTCACCAACAGCCATAGCCACAGGACAGGAACCTATAAAATCATTTTGCGGGAAAAATTATGTAAATATATAATGTAGAAGATTGATATTTGGCATAGGTACTTCCTATAACATGATCTAGTGCCTGACACTCATTTCAATATGTTTCATAATTGATGTATTATTCACAAATTACATCATAAAGTACTTGATTAAAAATTGAAATAATTAAAAAATTGAACATTTGGTTATAATTTTTCTGAAAAGAATTTTGAGGAAAATTGAAGAGTGTCAGGCACTAGCTTAGGCTCTAAGCTTTTTAAAACTATATCATTCATCAGATTTTGATAATTGATTGTTGCGTTATGTTTACGAGGCTAAGCTATGGACCATTTGCATTATAGACTAAATTTTGATCTAGACAAAAATTTCATCACAGCTTGAAAGAGCATCACAAAATTAGTAATATTCCAAAGTTTCGTTGCGAAATGTTGTAAAATGCGGAGAATATAGCCTTGCGAAATTTGCAATTTTCAGTCATTGTATTACAAACGGGAAATTGACAGCCCAATCGGGTGTTGGGGCATCAATTTCCCGTTTGTAATACAAAATGACTGAAAATTGCAAATTCCGCAAGGCTATATTACCCGCATTTTAAAATATTTCGCAACGAAACTTTGGAATATTACTAATTTTGTGATGCTCTTTCAAGCTGTGATGAAATTTTTGTCTAGATAAAAATTTAGTCTATAATGCAAATGGTCCATTATGGGCTAATTAAAGGCCGCCATATTGGATAATTAGTGTAATTAATGACTTTGTGAATTTTTTGCATTAATCATTTTCCGTCACGTCATCCTTATTATATTTGCCATTAATATCTTTAAAATTGAAAAAAAAGGTTTCAAGAGGTATAACCACCTTAATTAGCGGCTGAAATGTTGTCGGCAAATGCAATACTACTCCCCGCTTTAGCCTTTTCTCTACGGCCCTGTTAACACGTCACATCTCGTAAAAAATGCCAAAATTAAACCTAAATTTCTCCTAAATTTCTTAATATCGGCTCAACAAATGGAATATTGAGCTTATTCTAACATGGGTAATGGATAACAGGCTTTCAACACAAACGTAGCAAATTGCAATGTTCAGAAGAGCATTGTCAATATGTCCAATGAATTTCGTCTTCATTTCATGTAAAGAGAAGAACAGGAGTCTCCTGGATACTAGTGTAGTATAATGGAAAACCCTAGGGCGCCACCTTATCGATCAATGTGTGAAATTATCAATAACATTATACATCTTACCAACAATTTTCAGAATCTTCTTGTAGTGGAATGCTGCTATTCCACCAGATAAAAAGATGATGCAAGGGATAAAATTCTCTTTGAAAAACAACTTGGCCTCACTGATAAACTTGTGCCAATTAAACGGCCTGCAAGGCAATTCAAATCTCACCCTATGCACCGTCTCGAGATATCTTTTTATTTTCTTGTTTGTCTTTGCAGCTGGTAAGGATTGTAGGAAAGGGACCATCCAATAGTATTCCCAATCGTCTTCCTTTATTACACCGTGTCTATTTACCTGAAATATAAATTCAATTAACAATCAAATATTTTTGTAAACATTTAAAAATAGTCTCGCCGATAACGATATATACATATATATAGAAAATAAATATATAATGGATATATAAATATATAATTGGGGGGGGGGGGGCTCGTGCCAAAGGTACGAGAATTCTAGGGGGGTTGGGGGAATGTCCCCCGAAAATTTTTAAAATTTGGATCAGTCCCGGAAATCGCATTTGCAGCATTCTGAGAACACATTTCGTAAAAAACTAGGTTTTCAAAACACCGTTTTAATTGTGAATTTTGTTATAAATCACATGCTAAGCATAGAAAACCAACAATTCAGAGAAAATATTCCATAAATTGGAATGTTAATTGAATTATCCATTGTTTTCAGCATAATAGTTTAATACGTATTCATATATTTTCGTGCAGCAGGAAATTTCGCCGCTAAATAATAGTATAAGATTAAAAAACAACAAAAAATCGACAATGACAATGAGTGCCTGTTGCAAAAAGTTGACCCCCTAGTGTGCGTATGTTGTGACATGTACAGTACAGAAACATATATATTATATTGTTTGGTATATTGCTTACTTTTTTAGCTTAAGTTTTATCAAATAGTTATTATTTAATATGACAATTACGTTATGTGAGTGTGATTTGTGTTATTTGGTACAAGATTTTTGCATAGAGAATAATACATGGGTGCGCGGAAATACCAGATTTATTTCGAGTGTTGAACATTCTTTGAAAAGCGAGAATTTTTACAGAACAGTGATAATTGAAAAGCGATAATTTTCACATGTGAAATTATCATAAATAATCTCACATGTGAGATTATCAGTTTTATCAGTGCTCGAAATTTCTATACAGCACTATACTTTACATAATAAAGATTATAATACCTGGACCATTTCATTGAGGATATATGTAGCGGTATCGTAATCTTCTTCTTCCTCATACTGACCCGCATTGTCATCTGGAACAATGTCCACCAAGTGACCGTTTTCATCTAAACATTTTTTATTGGCCTGACGACCAATAGTTAGCGAAGCCTTCAAGCTTTTACCACCCGTTCTGGCAAATTCCTCCACTTTCGTCATGGCGTAAGTTGCAATTTGCTCGTCACTTAAGCCTTTCCAAAATACTCCTCCTTTTTCATTAAAACTTCGGTTGATTGCCACTTTAAATTTTTTTGCTACCTCCATCTCACTTATTGTAACATAACAATCCCTATATAATTAGACCATTCAAAAAGTTTAAACGTTTTCCATTAACCCGTTTAACAATCACGCATGAGACACCCACTTTCCTTGCTTTTCCGTTTTTTTATATGCTGAAGATTTGGACCAATCGCGTTTTACTAGAAGCTTGAGATCTTTACAGAAGCCCACTTTTGTATTTTACACTTTGAAATTTTGTGTTTAATATTTCGTATTTTTGTGTTTTATATTTTGTATTTTATATTTTTTTATAATATTCTTAGACGTGGGATTAGACGTATCTCCCTAAGGTTTTTGCATTATACTACACTTTTGTATCCAGAAAACGCCTGTTTCTTCTCTTTACATGACACGAAGACGAAATTTATTGGACACATTGACAATGCTCTTCTGGACATTGCGATGTGCTGATTGCAGTGATATATACTATATATAGTTTCCGGCCTCTCTCCTCTCTCTAAAGAATATAAAATTCGAAGGAATAAATTTGAAATTGCGCTAGAAGGTATTTGAAATTGCACTAGAAGGTATTTGAAATTGCACTAGAAGGTATTTGATATTGCACTAGAAGGTATCTGCCGCGCACCGATTTTCAGCGGTTGTCTTCATACCAGATACCTTTTAGCGCAATTTCAAATTTATTCCTTTGAATTTTATATTCTTTAAAAGCCTATGCGGAGAAGAGAGGTTTTCCGGCCATTTAAAAAATCCTTTCGGGAAATTTTCTTTGAAGTTTTCGACTATTGTATACGTACATCTCGCAAAAAAATGCCAGAATTAAAGCTAAATTTTCCCTTTTTCATTCGGTAAAATTTTTTAAAACTTTGCACATTTCTTAATAACGGCTTAAGGTGGCTCAATACAGTTTTTAAAAAAATGGAAAATTCAAGATTCAGATGCATATTTTTGGACAATTATTACTTGTTGATAAACAAAATGTACCTTGCTTATATAAAACAACATCTAAAGAGTTTGAATTTTTGCACAAAAGTTAAGCAACTGCCGTTGCTATGGCAACAATGACGTTTCAAGATGGCGGATATTTTGATTTTAAAGTAATTTAAAATTCCAAACCCCCAAATTCTATTTTGAAAAATGATTTCTCTTAGTATAATCAGTTATTTTGACAATTTAGAAAACTTATTATGAATAATCACCTTTACGTAATTTAAAAAATTTCGGCCCCTCAGAATTTTTTTAAAATTGTCAACGTAATTCAATATACTAAGAGCAATCATTTTTTAAAATAAAATTTAAGGGTCACCGATGTCGTTTGCGAGTTAAATTACTTTAAAGTCAAAATATCCGCCAACGTAAAACGTCATTGTTGCCATAGCAACGGCAGTTGCGTAACTTTTGTGAAAAAATTCAAACTCTTTAGATGTTGTTTTATATAAGTAAAGTACTTTTTGTTTATCAACAAGTAATAATTGCCCCACTTTAATAGGGCTCCAACTTGAAAGCGAGAGCCTAAAATTGAGTAGGTTTTTTTAAATTGGTCAGAGCATTTTTGAAATCGAGGGACCCTTACAGTAGCTTCACAAGCAGTCTAGATAAGGTCTAGATGGGTGACTGACTTGGGTATAGCTTAAAAATAATGCTAAAATATAAAAGTTAGAATATAAAAGTTAAGTATACAAGTTAAAATATAAAAGTTAAATATAAAAGTTAAAATATCAAAGTTAAACTGTAAAAGTATAAAAGTAAAGATGAGCGTCTAAGCAGGAAGACCACCTGGGGCTATGGTATGTGTTTGAACACTAAATGAATACCAAATGGTTTTCGGTGCAGGATAGCGTCATCCATGCGCGCTTTCTGAAAGTCTCGCAACTTCGGCGAGTCGTTTTTGATTCACGGATGTTGCTTCAACAATGGGCAGTAGACTCGGTTTAGACGGCGAACTTGGTTATCTTTTCATGTCACGCAATCACGAAATAAACTAGTCTCTATCCCTAACCTCAACCTCTTAACCACCTAAGGTCCAGACACACCGGACGCGATTCGAGAACGCGACGCGATTTTTTAGTTTTGGAAAGTTAATAAAACAGCTAATGAGAGCAAATTTTGAAAGATATATGCATGTAGACCAAATAACTCAAAATGTTATAACGCTTCTAAATATTTGGAAAATTTAAACTAGGATCAAAGTTATCGGTCAGTGAAAATCGAAAAATCGTGAAAACGTCGCCGTCTGAACCGAGCCTTTCACGGGAGTATATGCTAATGTATGCATGGCGAATTCGGTATGCGTATTTCAATTATGCGCGATCATGCTCTTTAAACAAGCGTTCAGTATGTATCACGCATTTCGCGCAGTAAACTGTGCTTGTAATCATGTTTGACATATACATTGTTGATAAATCAGTATACAATTTGCATTACTAAATGCCTATAAATATAATCCCACGTCTAAGAACATTACACAAAAATAATATAAAATACAAAATATAAAACACATTGGTTTTACGCTGTCGCCTCCGTTTAACAATTACGCATGGGACACCCTCTTTTCTTGTTTTCCCGTTTTTCCCGTGGCCACTTCATGCAAACAGGCCAAATTTCCTGGGACACGCAGTGGTGATCATTGTAAGTTAAATGGTATTTAAATAAATTAAATCGTTATATATTAAAATCCAGGTATTCACCCAAAGCGAATTTAGAACAGAACCAATGTAGCACTAAAGAAACAAATTGCAGGCTACTTTTTGTATACAAGCCTTTGGTATATAACACGGCAAATTATATATGACAAAATTTAATATTAAAATATAAAATACAAAATATAAAAAACGGAAATACAGAATATAAAATACAAAATATAAAGCACAAAAATGTAAAATACAAAAGTAAATAATAGTACAATGATAAAGTCAATGATAGTAAAGTAAAGTCAATGATAGTACTCACATGGAAACTCCATCGATTCGGTGAACTGACAGGATATAACCATTAAAAATGGTTAATTCCTTTTCCACAAACTTAACAAAAGCTTTTATATGGAAAAAGAAATTGGAGATGCACTTGTATCGATTTGTATCCACTTTCACATGGAGCGTCTTGGATCCATCCTGGTCCTCACGCGCAGATATCCCTTTGATTGGTGACGATCCTGACATATTCAACTATTAAAAAAACGGTTATGGTGAGTTTCGTATACGAGTTTCATAGTTATAATGAATTCATCATATGTACGGTAAAGGGTGTAGCAAAAGATGTTTTAACTTACCTTTATACACCAGTTATTGCAACAGTATCTATAATTATAAATCTTCTCAAACTTGATGTCTGCCTCTGCTTTGTCCTGACTTTGATGCAATGTGCACTATCCCAACTTGCAGAAGACTTTATATACTCTTGGTCGTGTAAAAGTTCATTGTTTCAATAATATTACAGGAAGACCAACTGTGGTTCCGCGGGCACGGCGTTACGGCTGTATTATATCTTGTCAACACAGCATTATTAACTTTTATAATAATAATTCGGTTCCGCGGGCACGGCGTTACGGCTGTATTATATCTTGTCAACACAGCATTATTAACTTTTATAATAATAATTCGGTTCCGCGGGCACGGCGTTACGGCTGTATTATATCTTGTCAACACAGCATTATTAACTTTTATAATAATAATTCGGTTCCCCGGGCACGGCGTTACGGCTGTATTATATCTTGTCAACGCAGCATTATTAATAATTCGGTTCCGCGGGCACGGCGTTACGGCTGTATTATATCTTGTCAACGCACTTTTATTAACTATAATGATTTGGTTCCGCGGGCACGGCGTTACGGCTGTGTTATATCTTGTCAACTTAAAACTATAATAATAATGATTTGGTTCCGCGGGCACGGCGTTACGGCTGTATTATATCTTGTCAATTTAAAACTATATTCTATAATAATAATAATACGGTTCCCCGGGCACGGCGTTACGGCTGTATTATATCTTGTCAACACAGCATTATTAATAATTCGGTTCCGCGGGCACGGCGTTACGGCTGTATTATATCTTGTCAACGCACTTTTATTAACTATAATGATTTGGTTCCGCGGGCACGGCGTTACGGCTGTGTTATATCTTGTCAACTTAAAACTATAATAATAATAATGATTTGGTTCCGCGGGCACGGCGTTACGTCTGTATAATATCTTGTCAATTTAAAACTATATTCTATAATAATAATAATAATTCGGTTCCGCGGGCACGGCGTTACCGGCTGTGTTATATCTTGTCAACACACTTTTATTAACTATAATAATGATTTGGTTCCGCGGGCACGGTGTTACGGCTGTATTATATCTTGTCAACTTAAAACTATAATAATAATAAAAATTTGGTTCCGCGGGCACGTGTTACGATAACATTATAGATCTTAGTAATTTGTGAAAAATTTGGTTCCGCGGGCACGGTCATTATTCACTAATCATGTCAAATAGGCTCAAAATCCAAATGTTGATGTATGCCCGGTTTAGTAGCATTTAAAACAATACCATGGGTAACAGGTTCCTCTATGGGCTAGTCCATGACATTTAATTGGTGACATCTGGTTTCTATATATGCCAGGTGCGAGATTGTTTTTCACTGTATGATAATTGGTTTCGTATTTTCAGAATATTTCAATATTAATTATATTAATATAATAATATTACTAATATTTTTAATATTAGTTTATAAGCAGAACAAGTGATGTAAAATGGTTACGCGAGCACGGCGTGCTCATGAAATTTTGCAAACGCGATCGGTTTATTTCAGGCATGGTATATAATTCTTGTATGTAATTGTATAGTCAAAACCCGCCAAGAACAAAGCGTAGCGTTGTAATCTAGCAGCAGTGACAACAGGAAGGCTTTTGCTGGGATGAAAGATTGAAGTGAGAGGCTCATGATCAGTCAGTAAGGTAAAGTTCCTACCGAAAAGGTAATTGTGGAAATTCTTGACTCCCCACACTGTAGCCAGTGCTTCTTTATCTATCTGTGCGTAGTTGCGCTCCGCCTTCGACAGGGATCTCGATGCAAACGCTATCGGGCGCTCTGTGCCGTCTGTCATAACATGGGACAGTACCGCTCCAATTCCTACAGGTGAAGCATCACAAGCCAGTTGTAAGGGAAGGTTAGGATCATAATGTGTAAGCACCAGATCTGAAACAATCATTGCTTTAACTTTGCAAAAGGCTTCTTCGCATTGATCTGTCCAGTTCCATTGGTAGTTACTTTCCAGCATTTGGTTCAATGGATGCAAGATTGTAGCAAGGTTTGGCAGGAATTTGTGGTAATAGTTCACCAATCCCAGGAAGGAGCGTACCTCTGCAACACTCTGGGGGCGAAGGGCATTCACCATTGCAGCTGCCTTGTCGGTGGTCTTGTGCAGGCCTTCACTATTAATGTCGTGGCCACAGAACGTGATCTTTTCTTTGAAGAACTCACACTTCGATTTATTGGCTCTTAACCCATGGTGGTGCAGCCGTCGAAGGACCTCCTCCAGGTTAGCCATATGCTCTGCGTCGCTTTTACCCGTCACAATCATATCATCTAAGATACAACTAGTACCAGAAGTTCCTTCCAGAATCTGATCCATGGTACGCTGCCAAATGGCGGGAGCTGAGGTAATATATACCAAACACCAATCGATTGTATTGAAACAAGCCCATGGACGTATTAATTGTAAGGTACTTCTTGGATTCTTCCTCCAGCTCAATCTGATGGTAAGCTCGGAGGTCGATCTTGGAAAACTTTTTCCCACCAGCTAAATGGGCAAAGATATCTTCGATTCGAGGCAGAGGATACTGTTCTGCTTGTAGTGTTGGGTTTATAGTACCTTTGAAGTCACCACAAATACGGACTGAACCATCTTGTTTCGGCACTGGTACAGTCGGTGTCGCCCAATCACTCCACTCTAGCTACTTTCGACAAAATACCTTCGCTCTGAAGTCTCTTCAGTTCTTCCTCCACTTTCGGTCGTAAGGAATATGGGACCTGACGAGCTTTGCGAAACTGTGGTTGACTACCTTCTTTGAGGGTTATCCTTGCTTTGGCAGATTTGAAAGTTCCCAGTTTGTCTTCAAAAACCTCTGCATACGTATCCAATAGGTTTTTCAGCTTCTCTTGTGTAGTCGTGCCAGGGTTTCTATGGCTGGAATCTGAGGATTTCAACAACTTAATGGTTTTCCAGTCGAGGCGAAGCTTGTGAAGCCAATCTCGACCCATTAACACTGGACCCTTAGTCTGGACTACATGGAATGGCAATTGACATGATTGATCTAAGTATTCAACTTGCATGGTAAGGCAACCAACTGGAACGATCAGTTCACCAGTATAGGTCTTTAGTACGGTGGTTGTTGTCTCTAACTTCTTGTCGCGAAATCTTTCCAAGAACATGTCATATGGCAAAATGGACACGGCCGATCCTGTGTCTAGTTCCATGGATAGTGGTTGATTTTCAACTTTCACGTCAACCCATATGACATCACTGTTTGATTTGTTTACATTATGAACTTCTAGGTTATTCAACAAGTGTTCATACTCATCTGGTTCGGTCTCTATGGCACTGGTCGATTTTTGGTATCTTGATCTGGGCGAGGGTCTACCGGGCCCCTGGCTTTGTTGTGCCCGGCAAGCTCTTTGAATATGACCTCTCTTTCCACACTTGTGACAGACTTCTTTCTTAAATCTACACTCAGTTGCAACATGGGTATTAGCTCCACATCGATAACACACTACAGGGGAAGGTGGGCCCCTATCTGATCTATTCGAGGGTCTGTTCAGTGTCAGTTTGTCAAGACCAAGAGGTTTTTCTTCTCTACCCTTGCTGTGGATCTCTGTAGCATCTCGAGTGGCTGTTTCCATAGCAACTGCTATGTCAACAGCTTTGGAGAATTTTAATTTTGACTCTGCAAGGAGACGTTTCTGAATTTGCTGATTACTTAATCCACACACCAATCTGTCGCGCAAGGTTTCTTCCAAGTTACTTCCAAAATTGCAATGCGTGGTTAATTTCTTTAACTCAGCTATATAACTTAAAATGCTCTCCCCTTCTTGCTGATTTCTCTTATAAAAACGAAACCGTTCGGCTATTTCTAGTGGTTTAGGATTTAAATGCTTCTGTAATGTAGTTACTATTTCATCAAAGTTCTTGTCTGCAGGCTTTTCTGGCAAAAGTAAATCCTTTAATAATGAATACGTTTTGCTTCCAATCAAACTCAGCAGAGTTGGCACTTGATGATTGTCGTCGACATCGTTTGCAGCGAAAAAATGTTGTACTCGTTCGACATACGTCTCCCAGCTTTCTTGGGTTTCATCAAAAACATCAATTTTTCCAATCGTCGTCATTTCTGGACTTATAACAATCCCAAATTCGTCGCCACTGTCGTGTATTTAGATTATAGTTTTAACAAAATATGAATAATACATAAGCATGGCCGATCTCCATATCTAATGCGCATGTCCGTGCTATGACCGCTGTCCGTCTATATCTATATATCTAACATGATTGGTCTATAAGACAAAAGATTTTTTAATCTGTCATTTGATTGGTTGATGCTAATTAGATTATACTCAGTATTGTCGTTGATATATTTATAGTGATCACAACTATAATTAGATTGTTGTTGTCGTTGTGTGAAATTTAAATTTCCCATGCGACATTTTGATTGGATAGTAAATATAAACTTTGCTGTGGGTGGAAAGCTATCGGATTAAAGGTGATGTAAAGTCCGTTCTGCGCAGGCCTACATTCCAATGGTCGGGATCCGACCATTGGAATGTTGTTAATATATCGCACCTTCCGAACTTTCTTGAATTGAATCTCTAGTCTCTATTAATTTACAAGCATAGCGAACCAGAAGAGTGTTAAAAATTCAGTATAATATATATCTAATCATATTTTACAACCGTAGTACTGAGTTCAAAATGTAAACAAAGCGTTTGTTTATACATAACGGACTTTACATCACCTTTAAGTCTTGTGTCAGGTTTATATTTGTAAAATAGAGCGTGATCTCAGGTTAGGCTCGAATTTCTTGTAGAATAATAGGAGGTTTTTTGAAACCGGGAATAATAGGCAAAAGAGGCAATAATAGGGCAACGTTTTGGTATGACGTCATCGTGCCAACGTAAATTCCGTAATTAGCATGCATATGCATCATTCGCGCACGGGCCAGCGACGCGGCGTACACGTGTATACCAATAATGTTTAATAATAATGTTTAGTTTAATTTTTAATTTTACCACATTACAGCCAATAACTGAATTGCGTTGTCTACATGTATCACTAAAAAAGCACTATACTCTACTAAGTCTACTTGTATTATTAGTATACTGCTTATGTACATGAGTTAAGGAATTTACAGATTCTATTTAAAAAGCATGCATAAAAATTTTAGAAAACCCACCCTCTACCAAAGATCGTTGAAAAAAAGTTAAACCGTGCAATCTATACTAAACTACTACACATAGCAGGAGAACAATTGGACTAATAACGTTATGCATTACATTTGTTTCTTTAATTAATCCATAATGCAAATTTCAAATAAAATTGAAAATCTTAATTTCCAGCTCCACATCCATTATATAAATAAATAAGTTCTTATTTTCTCCTGGCCTTGGTTCGACTTGATGTAGAATAATTTTGGGAATAATATTAGGGAAAATTTTAAGAATAATAGGATAATGCATGTCAAGGGAATAAAATAATGGGCAAATTTTCGAGCATAATGTGCGTGTCTCTATAGCCATCTATTTCTAGAAACAAGTGTACATCAATAAAATTTCCTTACCCTAACCTTTACTCAAGCTTGGGTTGGTAATCTTTTCTTTCACGTGACGTGTGATGACTTTGAAATAAGTCTTGGTTTCAAATTTTGAATTTCACAATCTGGCTTTTGTACGTCTTGCAATTTTCTTGTATTGTGTATGAATAATCAACATTTACGCCATGTCTCAGTGGATATCGTTCAAACGAGTATGGGCAGTTGTTGTTGAGTGTCGAGGCCGGTCATAGATCGCGGGTCGATACTCAAAAATCGAGGTTGAGGGTCGAAAGTCGAGGGTCGAAAATCGTGATTCGAAAGTCGAAATTTCAGTTTTATTAATTAATACATTTTTAGAATACTACATTTTTAGTGTGAAGTTTCTTCGAAACTTCACAGTATTGTGATGACTTGGAGGAAATTCAAACTTATCAGTCAGTCAGTCAGTCAGTCAGTCAGTCAGTCAGTCATTCATTCAGTCATACAGTAAACTTTCCGGGGGGTGTATACGATTTATGTTCGTAGTGATTTATTGTGCTTTGTCAGTACTTTGAAGGTTATTTAACATATTCTGTTATCCTTTTGCCAAGTTCACAAAAATTTCGAGGAATCGCTTTTGTTATTGTATTTTTTTTTAAATTTTAGAACATTCGCTTCTCATGTTGTGTAGCCTGCATGGCAGGCGGTATTTCTACGGGCAGCGAAAATTAGGGAAGCAAAGGAAATACCGTCTGCCGCAAAACTAGGGGTTTTTGAATTACCCGTCCGCTGGTGAACGGGAAAAACGGATTGGTTAGTATTTTTATGTAGTTGTCAATCAACGGCTAAATTCGGTTAAATGTTAATCATTAACCAAATGTTTTGACGTTTTGAAACTCTGCGTTTTGAAATTAGTTCACGTCAAGTCAGACCAGAAATGGAATAACATAATAAAAGAAGCAAATTAAAAGATACAAGCTGAAAAATAACACTCTAAATAGTGTTTTGATAGAGATTCGAACAAGAATATTTAACAAAGAAGATACGTCCGAAGGGGCCGAAGTTATGATCGGCGAAAGGTATGGGCTAGTCTATATTTTCGTTCAGACAATTACATGCGTATTAATTTGATAATATACTATCTCGCTTGACTTTCAAAGGCCATAAATCGCAATAATGTTGACATTTTACTAAAACTATCGATAGAAATTAGGAGATATTTCTTCACTGAATCGAACAGTGGGATTTCCATATAGGCCTATCAGTCATGTTCTGAACCAAAGATACTTGATAGATATTATATACGAACCTCCAAAGTATAAACAAGGGGCCGGTTGATGCAGTAATTATCAAATAACTGTTAAACTCTTATATACCCGTTGAATATGTATAGTTGTAAACAAATAAAAACTATCGTTCTATAAGGCCACATAAAATAAATTCCTTGATTCTCATCACCGCCCGACTGTATTTTAAGAGACGCGTGAAATTTTTTTATATTTTGTTATACAATATAAATGAACCGCCCTACAAAATATTTCAAGACAGTTAAGTATTTTATATTTAAAATTGGGTTTTTAGTGCCATTTTAAACTGCCAATTTCAAACAAATAGAACCTTGAAAGAAATTTCATTGCATTTTAACGGAACTTCGCATTCAGTTGAAGGGTTCAGTCATTGTTCGTGGAGAAATATGTTCATTTTGGTTTGTGACACTTCACTTTGGAAATCACAGAAATATTAAATGTTAGGAATTATCAGTTTTTTATTTATTGATGATAAATTATATAAATATAAAATATAAACCTCCCGGTTTAAAAAGTCTAGTGATGAGAATCAAGGAATTTATTTTATGTGGCCTAAGGTTCAATACTTTCAGTTTGGTTGTTGACTGATGATGAATCTATAGTATAGACTTGCATGCTTTGTATTTTGAGCTTATTAAAAATGGCAATAAAAACTCTATATAAAATATGAAAAAATTAACTGTCTTGAATTATTTTGTCGGGCGGTACATTTATATTGTGTAACTAAAAATAAAACGTTTTCACGAGGATTTTAAAATTCAGTCGGGCGGTGATGAGAATCAAGGAATTTATTTTATGTTGGGCAGTGGTGGTTTCGAAAACGAAGACCTACGAAAACGAAGACCGAAGACCTAAGTCTAAGATGGGTCTTCGTAATTACGAAAACGAAGACCCACTACGAAAACGAAGACCCATCTTTGTTTTCGTACTACGAAAACGAAGACCCTAAAATATTTATTTACATTGTTTTCGCGCCCACTACGAAAACGAAGACCCATCTTTGTTTTCGTACTACGAAAAAGAAGACCCTAAAATATTTATTTACATTGTTTTCGCGAAAATAAGCGTTTAAATTTCAATATGTTTTCAGGGGGTTGACTATACCTCTCGTTAGGGCACTTCCTAAGAACACGGCGTATACTGGAAAAATCCCTTACGCTAAATTAACTTGAATCACTGAGACATCTGTGTGTACTATGTACGTACTCTGGTGGTTCTATTGACCGTGGTATTACTGATTCAAACTTAACTGATTTGCTCAGACATTGACAGTAGTACAGCAATTAAATAAATACATGTCGAATATTTGTTAACATTGTAAATTTTGCAATTGTAATTCTGACATTCTGTTGTTGACATTTTACATTTTAAAATTATTTAGTTACTTGTCTGATGTTTGCCTTTGACTGTATTAAAAATACTTGAGTGATTTACTGAATACTGGTTTAGGTTTCTAGTGATTCTATTTTTATTGCTGAATCGTATTTTCCTTGATCATATTGACATATATACCATAACATATTATTATTCCTTAATTTTTTCCAGCAATTTATCGGAAATTTTTCGCGACACTTTTACGCTTATTTTCGCGAAAACAATGTAAATAAATATTTTAGGGTCTTCGTTTTCGTAGTCCAAAATCAAAGATGGGTCTTCGTTTTCGTAGTGGGCGCGAAAACAATGTAAATAAATATTTTAGGGTCTTCGTTTTCGTAGTACGAAAACAAAGATGGGTCTTCGTTTTCGTAGTGGGTCTTCGTTTTCGTAATTACGAAGACCCATCTTAGGTCTTCGGTCTTCGTTTTCGTAGGTCTTCGTTTTCGAAACCACCGTTGGGCAGTTGGGACTTGGGAGCAGCTTGGGAGTGGCTAATTTTGAATATTTACTTAATTAATGCATCTATAAATAGCGTTGATGCTTCAGGGGCGGTAGTTCATTTACACCCAGTTTTGCGGCAGGCGGTATTTCCTACGTACCGCCTGCCATGCAGGCTACATGTTGTGTAAAGGATCTTTACCCCGGAACACCCGATTTTTTTTTAGTAGCGCAAATGCGCATGCGCTATCAAGCCCTAGATCACGATGGCGTGACGATATGCTAGGAAGGAGTGACAGTGTTGTTTTCAGATGTATAAACATTTCAGACGTGAATATTGAGTAATTTTTTGAAAATCTACGCAATATATAAATTGATCTTATGCATTACGGGCGTTCAATTAAGTGTCGATAATATTTAGACGGTATATTCATTATACAGAGCTAGGAAGGAGCTAGACCGCCTAGACAGTGCAGTCAACACTCAAGTGCATAAACATTTCAGACGTATTAAAAATATTGAGTCGAAAATCTTTGAGATTCTAGGCATTCAATTGAGTGCTGATATTATTTTCACGGTATACTCATTATACGGAGGTACAGTACGTACGAAGAAGCGAGACAATGTTGTTTTCAAGTATATAAACATTTCAGACATGAATATTGAGAAAATCTTTGAGATTCTACGCAATAATATAATATATAAATTGATGTTATAAGGCCACATAAACAAAAATAGTTGGTTAGCGTCCCCGCCCGCCCACAAAAAAGGCCCCGCTCAGGATTTTTTTTTTTTTTTTTATTTATAAAAAAACAACTTTTATTGATCAACAGGCTCTAATGTATGTAGTATTTCTGTTGACTGTAGTCAATTGTGTTAATAATTTGCGAAATTGCGTGCGAAAATGACGGTATGAATCATATTTTGAAATATATAAAAAAATATCTGTACTGCGCAAGAAAATCCAGTTTCGGACCTAACAGTGAGTAAAACCAAGGCGTTAAAAATTAGTAAAAATTTAAAAAAAAAGCGCCCGCCCGCTCACTTTTTGGCAAAAGCTAAGTACGCTAACCAACTATTTCAGTTTTTTATGTGGCCTAATTACCGGCATTCAATTAAGTGCCAATCGATATTATTTAGACCGTGTATTCATTATACATTGTCATTGACTGTATAAGGTGCTACATCACAGAACTCAGTACAAAGAGCGAAAAATTGCATCAGATCTGCATCAGATCAATAAAGCGTAAACAACTATTAAACAGAAGCGGGTGTTTGTACAGGCGTTTACGAAGAAAATATTGCGAGACGAAAGAAAAGTTGAGTCAGAGCTCCTTATTTAAATAAGAAAGACGAGGAGATAGCCAATGTGTTATCGCCAACGTGTTATCGCCAACGTGTTATCACCAATCGCTTGGCTCGCCAACAAGATTTATGCAATGGAAGAAAAAAGCAAGGAGGTACATGTAGCCAACATGTACTGTCACGGACCTTGTTTACTGTCTAGCACAACGCCGTTGTCAACGGTGCAAACTCGTGTTCAGTGCAACGATAACTCTACCAGATCTTACGAGAATGAATCTGTAGTATTCTGTACACAGAACTGTATCAAAGCTTGTCAAAACTGCTTTAAACACTGCAGCTATAACTGTGAAACTATTGAAATCTAGAGTGACATTATTCAACACATGCGAAAAGCTGAAAATAGACACAACGTGACCTTCGAAAAGTCAAAGGTCAATGAGACTTGTTATTGTGAAACATGTCACAATTAGGTTAAAATGCGGAAGCGGATGGAGCGGATCCACGGAACGGATATGCGGATAAAATACGGAACGGATGAAGATAAAGTGCTTCCTTTCAATGATATAACGACGTAGTGCTTATTATTCATAACATATTGTATACAGCTATTTCAATTATAGTTTTAGATAAGTTTAGCATAGCAGTAGCCTCGTGGGGATGCTTTTAGCGACAGCTGCAAATACAAATGCAAATGAAAATTTAGAATATGCAAAATTTGGTTGTTGGTGAAACAATTGAAATTTAGCATGCGTGTAGCATCACAATAAATAGATAAATTGTGTCAGTTTCACAAGGCACGTTTCTGATGTGTCAGGCTTGTTTCAAACGTCGTGCGCCGAGCGCATGAGATGAAATGCCTTTGGTAATTGTTTATTTCGTAGTGTAAGCCATCAGCTTTTCTAGGTTGTCGGCGAACCTATATAGTTCTTGCAGTGTCTTTTTCAATTTGAAACTTCACACTATCCTTGGATCCCTAGTTCGTATTTATAATTGTTGTTAAAATTTTTAAAAGTTTTCCTGATGATAACTTTTTTAATTGCTCGTGAAATTTTTTTAATGAGAAATTGATCCTTTTTCTCTTTCAGTATAGAACATTGGGCGTAATTAGGTTGTTTTTTGTTTTCGAGAGTGTAAAATTACTAAAAATATTGGAAAACAAAATTATATTGTGTTACTATCAGAACAAATCGACAGAATCACACACTTCTCCGTCGTATTCTCCCAACATTCCCCTCGTGCATTATATATCATAAACACGTTTTCTATTTCTTAGATCCTGTTCCTTTTTAGGTTGTCGTCCACCAGCAGGAAGTACACCCCTACCATCTGAATGTTATTGGTGCAAGTATGCAAAAAATGGTCAAGACTGCGTGTTGGAGTGCCCGTCTGGTATGGTACCAAATAAAAACAAAAAATGCATTCGTAAGTATTATATGAAACATGTTTTTGAATTATTCTTGCATGTATGAGTGGGCGACACCTTAGTATAGTTGCCAACATATAGAAATACAACTGTACAAAGTACATTCTAAATATAATTTTCTGCACTACTTTGAAGTCGTCAGTTGACGAAGCACAGCTTTTTTCGGTTCATCCTATTGACCAAATTTTTTTGTGTAGGTAATTTCGACTTGACGTTTAAAGGAAGCATTGGTCGTAAATGGTCGCTCACGACTATCCCATCCACACTTTCTGCTTTCACAATCTGTTTATGGATAAAATTCCCCGCTTACACTCAGGAGTATTTCCAAAAAGAATATGCAGTCCTTGGTTACCTTTCTTCGGGATCGATTTTCCCTACTCTTATGACACATTTTGGCCTGTCCGTAAGATACATGAAAGAAGGGGAAGCTTCATTGGTGTTCAAGTACTACTACTGGTAAGTCAAAAAGTTTGGAAGGACAACCTTTTTTAATTATATATATATATATATATATATATATATATATATATATATATATATATATATATATATATATATATATTTATATATATATTATATATAATACCTTATTGAATTCTGATCGTTTAATTGGCTGTTTATGGTCACGTGATATTGAATAGAAAATTCCATTTCCCAAGAGTGCAATGGAATACGTTCCATTGCACTCTTGCGAGTGCAATTGTACTATACGTTTTATTCCATTGCACTCTTTGTGTTTTCGATAAATCGCATCCGTCAAAATGCTTCTCGTACGGTGATCGCAGTTTATTTTAACCCGATATTCGAAACTCAGTAAATGGGATTTAATGCAAATACGACTCGTCAAAATGGCGGGAGCTTACAGTAAACCTTTTAATATTAGTCTATTTTGGTATTATATAAAACAAATAATGAATGTTTTTATTCGTGCAATGGTAAGAATATTTTCATTCGGTGAAAGATGGAATGTTCCATTCAACTCGGCTGTCGCCTCGTTGAATGGAACATTCCATCTTTCACCTCATGAAAATATTTTTACCATTGCACTCATAAACATTCATTATTTGTATATTATAGAGCTAATAAAGATAAAATAAAATAAACCTGGTTTACTTTGTGAATAAAATCTTATGAAGTAAACCAGGTTTATTTTATTCAATTTTCCATAAAGATTTCCCACCGAGATTTCCGCCATTGAACACAATTCAAGGATCACTCATTATTTTTATATAGCCCTAATGCCTAGTCCCTAATCTGATCGCGAATGTTCCATAATAGATGCATGGGAATCTTTCTTCTTTCCATGACTTTTTTCCATACTCTCGACTATAGGTTGCAGTATTTGAATGCCTGTTAAAAATGAAATACTCATTGTAATTAACTCTGATTTATATAGGTTTGATTTCGTGTCAAGACACGAGATAGAGTTGAAGTTAGGACAAAGAGTCAACACCAACGAATGGAATTTCCTGTGTGTTACGCGTGAAAACAGTTCTGGAAAGACGAATTTGTTTTGGCATGGGAAAGATTTAATTTCAGCTAACAAGTTACTTTATCCAGGCCACACAATGAGAAAGGGAGGGACATTTATTGTAGCTGGAATTCCAAGACGCAACATTTATGATATGGTGATGTATCCGGCGGTTCCTAAGAATAACTTACCTTTGACTATTACACAGACCAATGTTTGGGATCGCTCACTTACACAAGATGAGATTACTGGTATGTCCAGTCGAGAAAACTGTGGTGGAGGAGCTGGGAATGTCCTTGATTGGAAAGATTTTGAAAGTCAGCTGGATCTCAGCATATTCACTAAAAATGACCAGTCTCAATGCACAACCACGCCTGGATCGATGTTCTAATGTATTACTCTCTTTGGACTTCACAGTCAGGCGGACACGTACTGAGGCTTATCACATTTCCCACTTGTTTAAATTCATATTGCATTGAATCGTGTAATAATTATGTCTTTGTTATCTAAATCCTATGGATAATATTTCTTTTGGAAGATTCATTAAAAGCTCTATGCTACACTATGGGTTTTCCAAGGATTTTGAATTCACAAAATTGACGCGAAAATATTTTCACATATAATATATGTTACTGTAGTATTTTAACCTTAAAACTCAACTATGCTGAGTAAAACTCCCTTTTTAATACAGCTGTCCAGTTCTCCTCGAGGTGCCTGTTTTTCCCGCCGGAAGTACTAACTCCCAGATGTTACACTCCTTTTTCCCTGGATTAAAATCAGAGTCCCTGAAACATAACAACTAAACTAATATAAACTAATATTTGTCAACACTCTAACCTAGCAGTTTAATGTTTAATGTTTTATAGTCTAAAATTAATGTAATTACTCACGAATAACAGTCCGGTGTATGTCTATCTCTTTGCGGATATCGGGCTGCTGGAACTGCATTTTCTTCGCTAACCACTTGTTGGTCTGGAACGGGTTGCTGGTTGAGTTCTGGATCAATGACTTCATTTTCGTTTGCTTCGCGTGTTTCTCTCTGGATCACTTGATCTTGATAACTCCTGGACACCACTTTGTTGTTTTCCAAATTCTCTCGAATATACTAAGTCATCTGGTCGTAATTGTCGATCCACTGCATGTTGATCGTGTAACTCTTTCTGCTTCTTCTGTTGGTTCTGTACTCTTAGTCTTACATCTGGATGTAGTACGTCCAAGCGAGATCTTGGTTTTCTGCTCGTAAGCATTTCCGCTGGCGCTATCCCTGTGGTTGAGTGTGGCGTGATACCGTATTTGTAGAGAAACCTAAACACTCTGGTTTCCAAACTTTCCTTATTTGACATCTTCTTCATCCCTTCCTTAAACGTCTGGACCGCCCTTTCTGCAAGTCCATTGGAGGCTGGATGATAAGGAGCAGTCCTTCTGTGATGAATGCCGTTTTTCGCCAGAAATTCCTCGAATTCTTTGCTGCAAAAATTACTACCGTTATCACTGACGATTGTTGTAGGAAGGATCGAGCCATATGATGAGGCATCGCAAGCCAGTATTAACTCCTTCTCCGGGTCATAATGCACCAATAGATGTGAGGACTTCAATAACTCTTTGGATTTTCTAAATGCCTCTTGGTGTTCTTCACTCCATTGCCAGCTTTTCCCTTTTTCCAACAGGCTGCCGGAATCGTTGATAAATTTGGTAAATACTTTTGGTAATAGTTGATCATTCCCAAGTATGATTGAACTTCAGACACATTCGTCGGTGCCGGTGCATCGGTAATGGCTCTGACTATCTCTTGGATTGGTTGTATTCCTAGGGTATTTATCTTCTAGTGGCCTAAATACACCACCTCGTTCACCATGAAGGCGCACTTCTTCTTCTTTAGGCGTAACCCATGCTCTGACAACCGTTTTAGAACCTCTTCTAAATTTGCTAAATGTTCCTCACCATTCGAACCAGAGACCAAAATATCATCCACTCGCACAACCACGAAAGGAATCCCCTGCAGTAGGTTTTCCATAGGACGCTGGAAAATCCCAGGGGACGAGGACACTCCATATGGCAATCGATTGTACTGAAAAAGTCCTTTGTGTGTGTTGATTGTAGTATATTTTTTTTATTTATCCTCCAATAAGATTTGTTGATAGGCTTGACTCATGTCCAGCTTGGTGAATTTCTTTCCACCACTCAAAGTGGCAAAAAGATCTTCTGCCTTGGGAATCGGGTAATTGTCTAACTTCGCAGCTTGGTTAACAGTTACTTTATAATACCTACAAATTATTATCGACTTATCATCCTTAACGATTGGTACGATTGGCGCTGCCCAATCTGCAAACTGAACAGGCTCTATAGTTCCCTCTTCTTCCAATTTATTTTAAATTCTTCCAATTTATGTTAAGGGCCCTTCCCCGTTATGACTAGTAAAGGCCATACGCCTTCTTGATCTTCATGCTTCACCGAAGTCTCCACCTGACCCAACACTTTAACTTGCTCTCCCGTATAGGTATTTAGTCTTACCTTTGATTCTTCAGCTCTAGGTTTGGGTGTTTTTTCTTCAATAATATATGTATCCTCATTCATTACACTAACTGCAGCACCAGTATCTACTTCCATCTTTAGACTTTCATTGCTCATCAGTACATGAACAACATATGGCTCAGCTTGCTCTTTGCCCAGACTATAAATCCCATAGTTGTCGTCTTCCTATTCGATCTCGTCATCCTTCATGTTTAAATAGTTGCTGCTAGTGCCTGAGTTAGGGTTGTCGTTTCGTTGACTTTTTCCAGTCGCCTTAGTGTTGCTTCGACCGTTTCTTGCTGTGTGTCCTTTCTTGTGGCACAGGAAACACTCAGCATCGCGAAATTTGCATTGTTGAGGGTCATGTTTACCCCCACCATAGAATAAAGATCCATATAGAAGGGCCACTTACGTCGGAAGCTTTGAAGTTTCTGTCCTCGCGCATGTCGCATTACGCATGTTGGCCGCCATCTTCCTAGCCAGTCAATGACATTTTCTGGCCAATAAACACGCTGTACTGGCTGGCTGCTCCGCCTTCTGGCCAGTAAACTGCATATTTTTGCATAAAAAAACGAGGACACGTTGCACCGCTGAGTGGCCCTTCTGTTACTGATCTTTATTCTGTGCCCCCACACCTCCATTGATGTAGCTATTTTCATGGCTTTCTTAAAGTCGAGAGAACTTTCTGCTTACAATCTACGCTGAATCTGTTCGTCATTTATTCCACACACCAACCGATCACGTAACATCTCTTCTAAGGTACTCTTGAAATCACAATGTTCTGAAAGACTTCTTAATTCAGCTACATACGAAGCAATGACTCGCCAGGTTTCCTGAACCGAGTATTAAACTTGAATCGTTGCACTATTGCTGAAGGTTTTGGGTGTTGATGTTGTTGTACAAGTTCTACTAGCTCTGCAAACGTCTTCTCTGACGGTTTTCCTCAATTTCCTGGCGTGGTTAAGTTCCGAATCAACTTATACGTCTTGCTACCACAAACACTCAATAATATCGCTCGTTGTTTATTTTCGTCGTCCACGCCATTTACTTCGAAATAAAATTCCAACCGCTCAATATACTGACTCCATTCCTCTTGTGAGTCATACTCTTCTAGTTTCCATGATTTGCCATTTTATCTCGTCGCCAAATGTAGTATTTTAACCTTAAAACTCTATAAGTAAAACTCCCTTTTTAATACAGCTGTCCAGTTCGGGGTTGTTCTCCTCGTGGTGCCTGTTTTTCCAGCCTAGTCCCTAGGCCTCTTAGTACGCCTATTTCGCGTTTCTGCATACGACGTCACGGAAATCAAAAGCATGCACAGAGGACTAGGGACTAATCTGCTGTTTTTCCTGCCGGAAGTACTAACTCCCGGATGTTACAGTTACCAATGACATAAATTGTGAAGAAATTTTGTTCATTTATAAATAAATGCATTATTTATTTTGTAATTCTCATTTTAAATTATTAACAGAGAAAACATAAAGAAAATCATAAAGAAGCATGTACATGTACGTGAAAGAGCTTGGATTCCTAATATGTATAGTTCAGTTGCTGGAATGCATATCTGATACAAAATCCCGCTGACCTACATTCGTAGTGTCCAGAAATTGTAAATCCAATCTAGTACAGTGCTGACTAGTCCGCTCGCCAGAGGGGGCAAAACGGACGATGCCAAAAGGTGTCATTATAATAATAACTTTATTTTAACAGGCGCCCAAATCACTTTCCAGTGCTTTTGAGAAGGGCTAATTGTAAAAGTTAAAACATTAATCTTTATTACTGTGAAAAATTTTAATCTGTGCACTACTTAATATATTGAGCGCACAAGAGCACACAAAGTTGGATTACTTTTTTATACACCCTGTATATGGCATATCATTTGCTACAGAACGAACTACCAAGGTCATGGAACTCTAGTTATTTTCCGTATATAGAATATAGCTCTTGATTTCCATTAGCTGTTTTGATCTTAGTCCGATTTCACGTCCGGTCGCCTATCTTCAAGGACAGTAATTCTTGCTCCTTGAGTGAGATTAACACAGCGCTTCCCGGCGATGACACTTTCTTCAAATTACAATTCAAGTGATTTGTTTATAATCCTTCTTCATTGGGCACCACACAGTACATGTGGGTCCATTCGAGTTCGATTTGATAACTGCTTAAAGGCTTGTTATTGTCCAATAACAAATATTATTGTCCCAACATTCAATTCTTTGGCAAATATTTTGAAATATTTGATTTCGATAAATCTTATAAGATTTTTCAAAACGGATTTAAAAAACAAGCAGTAATAATAAATAAGAAATTATTTGAACATTGTTGCATCAATGTTGGTCAACATTTGAACGAGCCTTAAACTGCCTTTTCAGCTTCAATGTTTTTGGTTGAAACTTCGATCAATTCAATTGAATACATGGAACAATTAATTGTAATTCGGCAATTGATTACATGGACCATGTACCGTATGGCAATCGTCAGCCAGCTCAATATCCTCCCGCAAACATTCGAACAAATGACCCTGATGTCCCAATATGGCAATTATGTAACGTATACTTGTCCCTCATGAGTCAAAGCATTGGGACACGGTACATCAGTTCTCTTTTTCCTTTCTGTTTTTAGGTGATTTTTTTAATTTCACTGTTTTTATGATTTTTCCAGGTGCAGGTCAACCTCGTTCCCAGGAAAAGCCTAGAATCAGTCTTGCATGCTCGAGCTCGATTGCAATTATCGATATTTACAATTCAAAGTATTACCGTATTTTCTCTATTATTTTTTTCAGTGTTTCTGGACTGGAGCTTATTAAAAGGGAGGCTAAATAGTGGTTGGGGGCTAAAGAACCGTCATTAGAAAAACATTTGGAAATGTTTTCATACAAATCATCATCATTTAGTCATATCAGTGAACATAAATACACAGACGCGAGTTGATTGTACTATATTCGTTATTTAATATACTCATTTCTATATTTTGATACAAGGTAGCTCAAGACAAATAATATTTATTTACATATATATACCGGGTGGCGCAAAAAAAGTTCAGGCGTTTGATCTACCATAGCGAAAAAACTATAAGAGCTATACATCGCTCAAATAAATGTAGCTGTATTCATAAAAGGCTAACTTAAGTTTTGATAGGTTATACATGAGATATCACGAAATATTGACTGAGATATCAACGTTCAAATTAAACTTGCGTAAGCATTTTCAAAAGAATCGAAAATTAGTCTAAAATGGCCCATTGAACTAAATTTGATATCATTCTCATTAGACATTACGCTGGGCATCGCCAAATTATTTCCCGGGCGAGCTAGTGATGAGTAAACGCGGAGATGAGCCGTACCCCTGGCTTTCAGATTTGACAATATCCAATATTTTTGTGGCTATACCTATAGAGTATAGTTGAAATATCAAATTGGGAGTATGCCACATCGACAGCGCTAGGTTTTGGAATAATATCTAGAATACTTTTAGTGAAAACTCTTGTGTCAGAAAGATGTCTCATCTTTTGCTGACAGGTTATGAAGATGTCCCATCTTTTCTTAACCAGTGGAAGCTTAAAAGGAGTCTATAATATTATTCTTTACACCACGCTAAGTTAGAGTAAAGCGGCGCATGCAGCGATAGCGCTAGGTTTTGGAATAATATCCAGAATACTTTTAGTGAAAACTCTTGTGTCAGAAAGATGTCGCATCTTTTGCTGACAGGTTATGAAGATGTCCCATCTTTTCTTAACCAGTGGAAGCTTAAAAGGAGTCTTATATTATTTTTTACATCAGGCTAAGTTAGAGTAAGGCGATGCAGCTTGCGCTATAGGTTTTGGAATAATATCTAGAATACTTTTAGTGAAAACTCTTGTGTCAGAAAGATGTCCCATCTTTTGCTGACAGGTTATGAAGATGTCCCATCTTTTCTTAACCAGTGGAAGCTTAAAAGGAGTCTTATATTATTCTTTACATCAGGCTAAGTTAGAGTAAGGCGATGCAGCTTGCGCTATAGGTTTTGGAATAATATCTAGAATACTTTTAGTGAAAACTCTTGTGTCAGAAAGATGTCCCATCTTTTGCTGACAGGTTATGAAGATGTCCCATCTTTTCTTAACCAGTGGAAGCTTAAAAGGAGTCTTATATTATTCTTTACATCACGCTAAGTTAGATTAAAACGGTGCATGGATGCATGCAGCGATAGCGCTAGGTTTGGGAATAATATCTAGAATACTTTTAGTGGAAACTCTTGTGTCAGAAAGATGTCCCATCTTTTGCTGATAGGTTATGAAGATGTCCCATCTTTTCTTAACCAGTGGAAGCTTAAAAGGAGTCTTATATTATTCTTTGCCTCACAACGCAGGCGCGGGCGTAGATTCCGTAGATTAGCTATAAGACAATGGTGTCAATGCAGCTATTGTTTTTGGAATAATATATACATTTGATATATACGTTGGTGAAAACGTTTGTACCAGATTCATGTGCGCACTAGGGCCTATAGGGAAAGGCGGTATAATTATATAACTTTATAAGTCAGTTTCTTTATTATTAGCCATAGAAAACTTACGCCTTTGAAGCCGGACTTTTTATACTGCCAAGATCTAAAACGGCAAATATGTTCCGCGGTCTTGACATGGAATTATCGTGCTATTCTCTAAGATACCAAGAACGTTTTGTTTTACAACACACAAGTCTTAATATTATTACATATTATACGCAGCCTTATTACACATTGTACGCTATATAGTATAGCCTGGCCCTAGGTGACTTGTCAACAGTCAGCATTGTGACATATTTGTACACTTTTATTTTAATGCATAACAGAAAATTAACTTATTACTTGCTTGGTTTCACACTGCGTCTAAGCAACTGAACCTGGATTGATGACATCTTATAGCGGTAATTAATAATGCGATTAGCGTTGCTCGCTTCCTGAAGTTGCAAACTCAGTTTGCAGATCCCGCTGTTTTTCAAAACGTGCGGGTCGTCATGAAGAACGGGACTGATTAATTAATTTGGTAAATATATCGATTTCAAATTACAGGCCATATATGCTCAGGCGAAGCATGCAACACGCAATAGTGTTACCCTACATGAGCAAGATAAGTTAGATAACCCTGTCTATATAGTTATAGATGACTTTGTACTTTGTGTAAACAACCTATTTTTACCTGATAACCGCAGGGTTTTCATATTCAGTTTATCTCCATTGCATCAACTTGTGGTCATAATTATCAACGCATGCGCACGTGATTTAAGTTAATATTGTAACATTGACTGCAAATTTAACAGATGTTCGTGTGAGTCGTGTGACCATATATAAATCCATTTGTTTCATCCAACTAAATTTATTTATAGGTTTTCCATACAGTATAGGGGCTTATGACTTATACAGAAAAAATATATATGAAACTCCATGTCGGCTATATATTAAATATTGAAACATAATTAGCCACTTGCTATTTATTAGATAAACCCGTGTGTAGTCATGCAGGATATCTCAAATTAAAGGCTTATCACATGCAAGGTATGTCCTAATGTCCGCCTTGGTTCCGGATACTTATTGACAAATATATACCATCAATTAAACAAGTGTGACTTTTGAAGCCTAAAAGGTTTATTTTCAATTGATATCAGAGATCAGAAGACGAATATAAGAGATGGTTAAAAGAGGAAAACTGTCGAGCTGATATTAAAACTTCTAGTTTCTCGGGGAAAGCTCAATGGTCTGTCTGCTTGGTTGAAGATTTAAAGTTAATCTGAAAGACGATAAAATATTTCCGGCATAGCTTTTCGTAAGACTATAAAAAGATGAATACCTGATCTTCTCGTAAATTGGTTGCAGTCCACAACTGTAAATTGTATGAAATTCTTTTCATCCACAGTAGGCTTTTTTATGAATGCGTGTGGCATCTTTTCACAACTAGTCTGTAAATGTGTGCGCGCCAGGCTGTGTGAACACTAAAATGTTCTGTCAAAACTGTCAACGACACCTTCAAGTTTATGCATACTTCACATATAATATTTCATTGTATCCTCTGTAATTACACTTTTCTATCAAGGCGGAGCGAATATAGTGCTAAGTATTCTGTAATAGACTGTAAAAATGTCGTTTAGGAAACAGGCGCCAAAGCTTGAAGACTATTCAGCGCAGAGAACGTCGAAGTTGTGAGGACGTCAGAGTGAGAGGTACGGTTTTGACTTGCTGTGTTTCTTTTCCTTCAACTATGTAGTTGTCTACTGGGCAACATGATATATTAATTGAACACATGATACACTATTACACTTGCTAATTGTCATTTAAATGGTGTATTTCATGTTCTATTTAAACTGAAAACGAGTAGCAGTATTTTATCGTCATTAATTCATACAACTGTAATTCAGTATTTTCAACTTGACAAGCAGACATTCTGTAACTTTGGTGAAGAACATTGTTGGCTTAAAAATTTGTTGCATTAACCTTAGTAAGAACAAAAATATCGTGAATATGAGGGACTGTTCACGTGAGCCTTCATGGCTTCGTATATCGAAAAAACTCACCTGGGTGAAATCCGCATGTCTTTGTAAAGATTTTAATGCACTTATATGGTTAAAAATAACTATATGCGGTTTATATATATGGATGAATATTATAGGCAGGCGCTATATAGGACGAGATCTCACTTTAGAGATAATATACTTAGTAGGACCTCAGTCAAATGGGGAATTTTTCATATGAACGCTTTATTCCAACTGACCGAGATTTTGGTCCAATTTTTTATATTTTGATCTGTGTCTTTGTACACTGTATTTAGAAAATATGACATAGTCAATAGTATAGAGAAATGAAAATTTATCGACTCAGCCGATAGTCCGCGTAATTTGACAGCGTACAGTTTGTTCAGTTTGAGGGCACATTTTAACTATAGATCATTTCACAAATACAAACACAGAAAGTTGTTTCCCACCAAACAAATTTTCTAGCAACTCATAGGCGAACTGTGCACATAGCTAAATTTTAAAGTTGTGGGTCAATTAAGCCGCACTCCAAATTGTAAATTTGATCATGATAAACTTGCCAATGGTCTATTTGGAAGCAAACTGATCAGAGTATATTTTGTTTTATTTTGAATGACAAGCTCTGGTTGCCAAAACCTAGTATTTTCGGAATCACTGACAGCTATTCGGTAGCCAGTGAAATTTTGCGCAATATAGAATAAGCCGAAGCAATTATTAAGGCCCAGCTAGTGCTGAACCTCTATATTATGGAAGAGCCGCGATATCATAAAAACCCCATCACCATGCATGTCAGAAAACTGGGGAAATCAACCTAGCTGTTTAATTAAAGATAAATTAAAAAGTAAAGATAAAATTGTACGTCTTTACTCTTTAGCAAGGAATCTAGATGATGCATGTAAAGACATGCATCATCAACACTACAGACTTTGTATCAATTTAGCCGTGTACACTATACCGAGCACTATACTGTCTATAGAAATATACATGCATGCATGCAATTACAATCCCTCGACCTTGAATTTAGTGATTATAGTTCTCTATAGTGATTATAGTTCTCAAATATTTTTTCAACATAATGCATTCCCGGCAAACAATTATATAAATTAAAACGAATATTCAAAGTTCGTATTTCGAGCTGCCACATTGTTCGGCAGTAGGGCCTGTTCGCAGGCCCTACTGCCGAACAACTTTGAACCACATCACAAGTATCACACATGACGTACAAATGTTATTAAGCATTTTATAAACTTCAATTTTACCTGAAATGCATCCTACAAACGAGTTTTCAAATGTTCATGACATAACTGGCATAAGCGGCTGCTTTTCACTTTTGTCTTTACACTTTGGCGAAAAACTTTGCCTTCAACTGTCTATGAAGTGAAATCTTTGGAACGAACTTTAAATCATTAAAATCTTCAAAAATTTAGTAAATTTTACTAAAAACTGATGTTCATTTATTTACTAAACTTTTTCCAATCGCTCCGACCAAAAGTAAATTGTTTTACCAAATCTGGTCACACTGGACTGGAGGTTCATGAACGATTGCCACACGCTTGCAATCATTGATGAATTTTCGCTCCGCTAGCTAGCTTTCCTATATATTAAAATGAATTATAGCCGAGTGGAATTATAGTACCTTGACACGCGCTCTGCTTGGGGATGAACGAAGTATCTTCCCAGAGGCGTCGACACAAATTTCGACGCGTATACGTTGAAATCCATGAAATTAATTGTAGTGAAACCCCTCCGAGATATAGTCGAGCACTGCGCCCTAGTCATCCCACACAGCGGCCATGATATAATCGTAGTCTAAAACTGAACTCATGCGTTTGACCGATTTGACGAAAATGGCGAGTGCGAGAGTCATCATTTTCAATTGTATCACTCAAGCCACGGTATATATAGTGACGCATTATATTTTCAAACCAATTTCTTCTATTTCATGTATTGTCGTAAACTTTAAATTATTTACAAATAAACTGTAATCTGAAGAATAGAGCTGATCTACACTATAAAATTTCTGTGATCGCCAATTTCTGTGATCGCCGTTGTCATACATTTTACTTCCAAACGCACGCTGCCTACCTTGACTAATTCATTATGTACCAGGCCTGATGCAGGGCCGTAGATAGACACGATAATTGGGGGTGTATTCATATATTCATATTTACATACCGTAATTAAAAACAATCGATTCCAAAAGAAATCCGTCGGGCAGAACACGAATATATGAATATACACCCCCCTCCCCAATTATCGTTCTAGCTACGGCCCTGGCCTGATGTGGTTCTACATTATAGCTGGGACTCTGTATTTGAGATAATAATCATTTTCGGGCTCATGATGAGTATCAGCATCCTTCAGTGTTTCTAATATATAGTTGTTTTATACTTATCCAATGCTCTCATAATTAATGTCGCTTCATCTATAAGTAATGTCCATTATTTTGAACTTACTGCAATATCAAATGTTCCTTCGAAATGTCGTCTCGATCATGTTGTGGAAGTATATAATATATTTGTAATTTGACGGTGTGTATACACAATGAAATTTGATAAATCGTATAGACAGTGTTATTTAATTTGAATAATTAATGGCAAAGAGGTGAGATTGAGAGATTACCGATGAGGCCGAGACGAAGTGGTAGCAGAGAAGAACGAATCGAGCGGTTCGTTAGGCCTAATTTCCCCCCGGTTTATTTCGGTTTAGACAGCTGGATGGCTCCAAATATGGTTCATAGAGACAACCGACTATATTGACCGACACCGAAATTAAGTACTACACTCCTGACTTCGTCTCGGTTAGTTGATTTCATACAAATGGGGCATCATGTATCTGTCCTAAACTAAAGTAGAAGAAATATAAAACCATATACATCGGTCAAAAAACAATTTTAATGTATCAAAATAGTCAAAATCGCATTTTCTTTCAATGTTGTACCTATATAGATATACGGATGTTATGGAATTCTGGTTCATAAGAAGATGAAACCATTGGCCGTGGTACACTTGAAACTGATTTAAATAATAATAACTTTCAATCTAACACTCATAACCTGTCCTTAGAGGTAACGTCAATATTTGCGAGGTCCCACATCAAACAGTCAAAATGGAAGAAGACCAAAATAAGAGAGCAGAACTCACTTTTCTGACAAATCTTCACGAACGGCATGCTAAACTAAAATCGAAACAAAATCTTGATGAAGCAGATGGCTTTCCGAAGAAAACGGAACGACGACGCACAGAGACGATGAACTTAGCGTTTGCCCACCTGCGCGAACACATCCCAAACGTTCCGACAGACACGAAACTCTCGAAGATAAAAACTTTACGGTTAGCCATAAGCTATATTCGTTATTTAAGGGAAGTTCTTGATGGAGAAAATCCAGGTGAATATGTTGTTGATCTGAAACGAGATAGAACCATCGCCATGGATATTGCTAATCATTATGATTACGCGGAAAAACATAAGAAAGAAGTGGTAAGTTCGTTTGCTGTCTTAATAATAGAATCGTTATATTACAGCACAGCTGGCACGACCTGTTTAACGGGATGTTAACATGATTCCGAGACGGGATAAAAAATATTTAAAAGTAATGAAATAGATCACCAGACATAGTAAACGAAAAGTCAAAGGGCGATTTAAAGAAATGAAATGCCGTTAATCACTTCCTGTAGCTTGAAAAATTATTACTCCTGTTCAGATCGCTATAGTATTAGGAAAATAATGAAATCTTCTTTAATTACACATATAGTTACGCGACTATAAGCCCGGTGAGAAAGCCCGTTATGACAACGGGAAATTATATTATTTATTATATAAACATAAGTGTTATATAGAGTTTTTGGCCACTGAGAAAAATCGTATTTAAACACACGTAAAAAATACGATATTTTTACGTGTGAAAATATCATTTGTTGTAAAACGCATTGCCACGGACGTTTTATTGTTTTTCACTGAATTTTGTTTATATAATAAACAGAAAAATACATGGGTGCTTGGAAATACCAGATTTATTTCTCGTGTTGAACACTGATATCTCACTCGTTCGCTGCGCTCACTTGTGAGATATCATGTTCAACACTCGAAATAAATCTGGTATTTACGCGCAGCCATGTATTATTCTCTATATATATAATTTCAGAAATTATCTACATTTCATATATACTGTTTTACTGATCTGCTCGAGAATTTTTAACTTCACGAGAAAAGGCCTTTTGCTCGAAACGTCGAAGTTTCACTTGTATTTTTCAGGTACTAGTTGAATCCCTCCCAATCCGCAGCTTTCTGGTGTTATGGTCACTACTATATACCTACGCTTGCCACAGACCGAATTTTAACTTACGCCTATATAGCGTGCTATTTAGTCGTTGGGGAAAAGCCCATGGTTGCCAAAGTCTGAGCCGGGTTATTTTACAGTGTATATGTATATTTAAGGCTTTGGTTATTGGTTGGGCTAAACCGGCTGTAAATTTCTAATTCAGTTTTGTTTTTGTAATAATAATCGCCTTGGGTTGTCGAGCAATAGGAATCTTGGACATAATCATGTAGTATCTAGGTTACTATAGGTATTAAAACTTGGGCGACCATATATTTATAAATAAAAATATATATACACTGGAATCGTACACGTGCATGGTTTTCTGCATGATGACCATCAAAAACATCATTAGCCGCTACATACAATCAGTATATTAGTATAGGCACTGCATATATACAATACTATTATACTTTTAGTTTAAATTAAGTCCTTGAGCGCTGGAAAAGCTTTGTTGTAATGTTTAAATGTTATTATGATTCATTGGAACATGCACTTTTTCAGTCACTGCAATAGTGTTGATAAAAATATCTTCATTGATCATTTTCAATCTGTTCCAACTGATTGATAATCTTTTAGCACAACATGAGCTCAACATCAGCTACATTATACATGATAACTCAGGAAAAAAATTTCAAGCGGCCCCGATGTGGACAACATCGGTTCCATTGAAAAGGATATAGGATATACCTGCATGGATATAGAAAAACGCATTTAGGAAAACGTGAAAGAAAACTGACGATATACCTGTATATAGGTGTTCGATATGGGAAAAACATGGTCATGGATTGACATAAACTTCAAGTGGACCCTTAATTGTGTTAGAAACCCGAGCCAAGCGGACTGTCATTGATGTATTCTTTAAAACACGCCGCTTTTCACTCTTTTCACCCACAGTAATGATGCCTCTGACTTTGGTTTGGGATAATGACCAACGCAATAAGTGATTAGAAGTAAACTGATTTTATTCTTTCCCCGGATGTGTATCCACAGTAGGCAGTACTGTATATGTTTTATTCACAGACAATTAATTTTAAATTTGTCAAAGACAAAGGCCAGTATGCATTGCATTGGCCATTTTTAACAAAAAAAAAACACCAACAGATCCGTACGTCTTTCAATGATCAGCACAATATATATTTCATTGGTTTACCAATTAAAAATTTATACATCCACCAATGTGTATATAACTATAGCACCTAAAGTTTAAATACTTCAGAAGAAATATGATGTATGTTCTAACAGTAAAATTATGCAATATATAAATTATTTATCCGGTTGTTCTCCGACTTGTTGTCCGTACGACTGCACGAAGTTTGGAAAATGCCGAAATGCATCTGTAAATACCCACACATTAATTCGGGAGCATACATATTAAACACAAATTAAAACAGTCTTAGAATAAACCAAGTAAACTAACGACAGGTTTAAATTTACATTATTCTTAACCGCATTGGCACTGGGGTGAGTTAGCCACCCCCGTAACAACTCGGTTGGAAACAGGGCGAATTTTACTCAATATTTAGCGAATGTTTAGCATGCAAGATTGAGGGGTGCATGTGAGTGGGACGTGGCCCCCATCATTTCTCTATTATGTATATGCGTAGTTCTGATTTTGGCCTGCGGAGGAGGCTATGCCAATAGGGACACGTTTGATGATGCATCTTTTGCGAATTTATGCTATTCGCTAATTATAGCAAAACATATGACAGCTTTTATCAACGTGCAGGAAATAACACCCGTATCGAAAAATAAACATTCCCACGACAACGACGTTTTTTCGCTCGAATTAATACATGATAGGGACTAATGCTCCGGAAACAGCGTTAAAGTGTTTGTTTTTTGGCTAATTGTTTTCATATAACAACATGTTAAGATATAAAATATGAAAGCATTAAGCACCCTAATTAAACTCTCTGCCTCTGGGGTCTTTTCTCGAAACGCTTCATCCCTACCAATTAAAATTTATACTTCCACCAATATGTATAACTATAGCACCGAAAAGTTTGAATGTTTCAGAAGAATGCTATATAAATTTATTTATATCTGCGTTTCCGGTCGGCTGCCACAAACGTCAATCTTTAGGTCTGCCGTTCTATTATGACGAGGCTACTCTAGTCTGAAGGAAGCTCGTTTTCACCGTTTAATTTTTTCCTCGGTTATTCTGCTATATATACTGTATCAGTGACAAAATTGTTTTGAATCCTCTTGAGCTGTGACGTCGCACGCAGCTACTTGGCAATTATATTTCGTTGTGCGCGTTGTCCATTTAGCTTCAGGGGGTCTTGTCAATATTAAAGCAAGATAAAGAAAGTCCTTTTTTCGCCGTCGCCAACTTAATTTTAGGTCGTCGTGTTTCTTTTCTTGTTGTGAAATACATGCACCGACACTGAAAGTTACCTATTGAAATTCTTTAATTTAAGTATTGATAAGTTTTCTACACAGTTTCTATTTTTAAATTTGCTATGGATATTTCAGACAGTTCTTTGGGAGAATAACTGCATAAATCAAGCTCGAGCCCGCAGTAATTGGCTCACGCTGTTGCGGTCACCCTGCCTATAGTCATGTATATTATTCTTGTTCTTGTTATACTTATAGTTTTGTGTATTGTAATATGGCGAAACTAATAAATAAATAAATAAATAAGTAATAAAATAAATACACGGCCTACACAATTGTAGAATTTTATGTTTATCGTAAAACATTTTACAAAACGCGGTTGCTCAGATGCGCAATTGCAGTCACTAAAACCTTGTCACCGCCAGAAGGCAAAAGAAAGTTAACAAACACCTGCAGGTTTATATATAAGGTGTTTGTAAAGCTGGTTTTATGGTTAGTAATCCAAGTGAGTATATATACACTTTAAGACCTGACCAGGAACGACTGCGAAAAATGCAGCACAAGGTCCTCTGGTAGGAATTGAACCTACGGCCCTGCGATTCCGGTGCAGCGCTCTAACCAACTGAGCTACAGAGGCCAGCTGTTGAGCTGTAACCCGCATTCTAATATTTATTCCACCAAGTGAAGTGCAAGAAACAAGATCATTGAAGTCCACCTTATCACAACCCGCACACCCGATCACCTATATATACATGAACTTACGGTTACAGCTCAACAGCTGGCCTCTGTAGCTCAGTTGGTTAGATCGCTGCACCGGAATCGCAGGGTCGTAGTTTCAATTCCTACCAGAGGACCTTGTGCTGCATTTTTCGCAGTCGTTCCTGGTCAGGTCTTAAAGTGTATATATACTCACTTGGATTACTAACCCTAAAACCAGCATTCTAATATTAATTCCACCAAGTGAAGTGCAAGAAACAAGATCATTGTTTGTAAAGCGTGTGCTTTGCCCATGGTTGTGCCTTCAGGTACAAAATTGGTTTGCATAAATGCTTTTCTATCGTCCAAAAAACGTTCAGAAACGAATTGAACATTAATTGGCTCTCTTGGCCTACAAATATATTTTGATACCGCGTAACTACGATGTCAGCTCTGCAGAGAATAATCGCAACGCCAGCAAACGTCCGCTTGTCTATACTATAGCTACTAAGTCTAAGAAAAAATAAAACCATGACGAGACGATTTACAAAAACTATTAGATGAAAAAGAAGCGGAAACGGCACTAAGACAGCATTTATAATAAGAATTTTCAACCGAATATTTTGAAGAAAATATAGGTTTTAAATTATTTTACAAAAAAAAATTTGCATTTTTCCTTATACACACAATAAAATAATTTTTGAATTTTGCGTGATATGGTGAGTTATTATGGCATACGGCTTCAGCAGGTAAGACAACCGCGGCCTTGGTAATTCTCGATATAATATGCAGCTCAACCTTTTAATATCCAACTATACTATGTCCATTCGTCTTCGAACACTTTATTTAGAACGATAGAAGAGCATTTCAACTGTGACCCAGGTATACAATGAATAATGAAGATCAAACAGTTTTCGGACTTCTCTAATTACATGGGTATATGTTTTGATATCGTTTAGGAATACGAAACCCTTCCGAAAAGGAAACGTGGAAGGACAGGTTGGCCACAGAAAGTCTGGGCTTTGGAACTAAAAAATGAATGATATTTAATAACGCACATTTGCCTTCACTGACTAGAATATATCTAATCACAGGAGTGTAATAAACATCTTACTGCAAAAATTAATGCAATAATGGTCGATATATCGCAGCAAGCTAAGTGTCCCAACACATGCAGAAAGACTGGAAATGATCACAATACCTGTACTGTAGGAACACGAAGTTGTATACTTGCGCAGTATACTGTATGTATGTTAGTATAGACTATAGTGCTATATATACACTGTTACGCCGTTCGTGCGGTTCGTCTTGTGCACAATAACATTTTGATAAATTCTAAAATTCACCCACAAATGTGAAGAGCTGACAATGATTTGTTGAAGTCGTGAGATTTGCGCAACGAACTTTACAGTACATCGATCACTCTAGACTGTAATTTTCGAAAGAACGTCTTTAGACTTTAATTAAGGTCTCTCTAAATTATTTGCGCTCGCGAATTCGATAGGGAACATTTGCATGAATTTGGGGCATTCTGATTGAAATCACACAGCTATCATGCAACTGTATGCAACTTTCAGTGAGTGTTTCGAAAGAGTCTTAACTATGTCTAATAATAAAACTAGCCTCAAGGGTCTTTTAAAGGTATAGTGTTTTAAAAACTATAAATATTTTAATTTTTATAAAAATTAGATAACTACCAGGGCCTATCAGAGAAATTCGGAGACCCGGGGCAAATTTTTTTTTTTGGGGGGGGGAGAAGGAGTTTAAAAAAAGGGTCAAAAAAATTTTTCGGGTCGAACATCATTTTCGCTAAGGTTCAAAAAATTTTTTTCCCGACAAATTCCTGTTACAACATGGGTCAAACCCTTTTTTTCGATCAATAAATGTTAAATTTTGGTTTAGAAAATTTTTTCTCATACCATTATTTATATCAAAAAAACGTTCGAAATTATTTTTTTTTAAATTTTGAAAATTTGGGGGGCCCCCTTAAACTGGAGGCCCGGGGCAAATTGCCCCCAGTGCACCCCCCCCCCTCTGAAAGGCCCTGATAATTACCATTTCTATATGCATTCTTTACAGTATGAGTCCTGTCACTTCAGCTTGGGTAATACACCCTTCCGGAAAGTACGTCAATTTGGCTGTAGAACCTCGTAGAATGTGAAAACGAGGCTCTGTAGCCAAGGTGGTGTACTTTTTGGAAGCGTGTCCGAACCAAGCACGAGAGGGCATATACGTTCAGTATGATGAAAATTCGAAGTTGATGAGTGGACTGGGGACGAGTGTTAAAAAGTGCCCAAATTAAGAAATGAACCAAATCACTAAAAAGACCACCTCAAAATTAGTGAGTATACAAAGTTTGAAGACGTTTACATGAATATCCTTCGAATAATAAGCTTTCGAAAATCGTGATATTTACTATGAAATGTATTGTAATCTTTTATCAGTAATTTCACAATTTTCGAAAGCTTATTATTCGAAGGGTATTCATGTAAACGTCTCCAAACTTTGTATACTTACTAATTTTGAGGTGGTCTTTTTAGTGATTTGGTTCATTTCTTAATTTGGGCACTTTTTAACACTCGTCCCCAGTCCACTCATCAACTTCGGAATGGCTAATTGGAGCGGCGACACGCGCATCGTGGAAAAGAAATTAAATTAAAATTAAACGTTCTGTAATTTGGAAATAGGACTGTTGGTAATTGGTATACAATTTTAGACCTAACCTGCAGGAGCAGTTACGAAAAATACAGCTATAGGCCCTCTGTGGCAGGAATCGAACCAGCGGCCCTGCGATTCCGATGCAGCGTTCTAGTTAATGGCAACTGAGCTACAAAGTCCAGTTGTCGAGCCCTAACTACAAGTTCTTGCATGTATATATATATAGTGGGTGATGCTAGTATAAGGTACGTATGGGTAAATATCGAGAATTGTGGACCAGGAACTGGCAGTAGCGTAGCCAGCCCGACGATTTAGTCGTGTGAAAACAATCAATTTCTAAAGAAATGAATACTGAATGATCATAATTTTGAATTTGCTTAGCGGGATTAAATTGTCGGGCTGGCTACGCCACTGTTGTTGTTGTTGTTGTTGTTGTTGTCGTTGTCGTTGTCGTTGTCGTTGTTGTTGTCGTTGTCGTTGTTGTTGTTGTTAGGGAGTGACATACGCTCAGTGCCGTAGCTAGCATGTATAGTTAGGTGTGGGCCAAAATTTCCGAATGACGAAGAAAATTTCCGAGTATTAGCGAAAATTTTTTTCATTCGAAAATTCCGGGCGACTTCCATGGCCAACCCATTTCCTGAATATGTCAAAGTTGGGGAGTTAACCACCCCCAATACCCCCCTCGCTACGGCCCTGCATACGCTCTTCGAAAAAAGCTGAAGGCTAAAGGCCCGGTCACATTACACAACGATAACGATACGATAACTTGTATACGCGCGCTGATTGGTCAAAAAATTTATCGTTATCGTCCGACCGACAAAAAAATTGCTTGGGTGAGCGATTTCAGTACTGAAAATCGTTATCGTTACTGTTAACCAATAAATAGATTTTACTCAGAATATCGTTTTCGTTGTAGCGTGGACACCAACATATTTTTTTTGACCAATCATCGCGTGTTTACAAGTTATCGTTGTGTTGTGTGACCTGGGCTTTTAAAGGCCCCTTCATTTTGCGTCCGATCGTCATGAAATTTGACAGGATGATTTTAAACGATATTTCGCATCGATTGACGGTGTCTGTTTTTTTATTTCCGATTTAGGGGCAGTGTAAAGCAATTCTTGTCTGCACGCGCAGAATAATAATATGCATATCACTATATTCTGAACCAGCGACTAACCATTTTAATGGTTAAAAATTGTTAAAAATAATTATTTGTTATGGTTGGGTTTATCTATTAGTGAGCTGAGAACCTCAATTGCCCACCAAGAATGAATTATTCACGCACGGACGCACCTAAGCAGTTCACAAAATGCACAAATAAAGCATACAGTATAGTATATAAAGCCGGTTATCACCTTAGCCAACCACAAACATGCTAGACGACACTATAGATAGTAGTTTTGTCGTCATCAGCCTGATAACGCTGAAAATCCCGTTTTTCGATCGACGTTTTAAGCACTTAAGACATCCATAAGTAGAGTTAATAGTAGGGACTTTGTTCTATTCGTCGAGAAGTGTTTTTTCTCTTTTTTTCTCAAGGGTTTTAACAGGTCTTTAGTTTCGCAAAACCAGTAGTCTGCTAAGTTGCAGGTATGTACGAGAGCAAAACATCCATTCCAAAAGGTGTGTGTTCCGTGTTGAATGATGAAGACTGAAGAGGGCGCAAAAAAAAATTTCAGACATATTTTTCATTCGGTTTTGGGTGGGTTAACGTACCGTTATTCGTTAAAAATGCTGCCAGGTCTGTTCTGCGCATGCATCAGTTCTGCTCATAACAAAAGGGGACCTGCAGATATAAAGAGATAAATATTGCTCAAATTTTGTATCTTTCCAACTTTTTTGAATTGAAACGTAGAGTTTAATATGTTCAGTACAAGCATAGTGAACCAGAAAAAATTCAGTTAGTATATCATATTTTACAAATATAGCAGTTCAAAATGTATACAAAGCGTTTCGTTTACATTACGGAGTTCACAGCATCTTTAAATTTTTCGTTAATGTTTTCGTAAATTTCATTGTTTCTCCAAATTTTAGCTATAACTATTACTTTTTAATCAGTGTCACTTTAAATATTTGAGTTCTTTTCCTTCCTATCCAATTCATGTTTTGCCGACTACGAAAAAAATTGCCAACAAATCTGTCATTTTGCCCCTCCCCATTGGCACACTCGAAAAGGCCGTTTTTAGCCCTCCTTTAGGTCAAAATTTCAGAAAATGCGTCAATTTTCAGCGAAGGTGGGGGGCTGTCGCCCACGCCCCACCGAGATTTCTGCCACTGGCCCCTAGCGATGGCCAGTCATGCTGGGGGTGTAACACCCCCATTATTTGTCGGAGTAATTTCAGGTAAATATCTAGGCGTCATAATTTAATAAACAAATAAAAAACGTTCTTTCACAGGGAAGAATATCTATCTCCAATAGAAGACAAATCTTTTTAAAATCTTTGTCGCAGGCAAGTACTATATGTTTAAGTTAAAAGTTTAATTGCTAAAATTTTCAAGGAACGTTTAAGAATCTTTCAACAATAATGAAAATTGTGCATCTTCAACAGCGCGCGATTATTTTAATTTTCGCGCGAATCAAATAAACGACGGGTTCCGACCAGCGGTAACGCCATTCAAAAAAAATAAGTAATTCATGTAAATATGACATAAATAAATATAATAAAAATAAAATGGAAGGCGCGCCATTTTAGGATACTGAAAGCATGTGTTTGGTTTATATTCTTTGAACAAATCTCAGTTTTCAAGGTTTGTGAAAATGAGTAAGTCATCCAAGAAAGATTCAGAGGAGACTTCTTCCCCCAGTAAAACATACATTCGGCACAGAGTGCAAAGCTATGTGGAGGGAGTTGACACAACTCGTGAAGATTATGAAACCGAAATACCAGCTGAAGATCAGGCAGATTTTGTTGACAAGGAGACTGTTGATGTTGTCGAGGAAGTCATTGAAGTTTCAAGTATTAGTCGTGGATTAATTGCCGAAACAATTTTAGGTAAAGTACAACAAAACAAATAAAATAAAAATAAAGTGTGGATAATAATTTTATATAATATAGTATTTTTGGCATTTTTGCACAAGTGAATATAACAAATTCTACAAGTTGAATGATCAAATTTGACGTATTAAGCTGTTATATTCACCTACAGGTGAATATAACAAAACCGAAATTTGCAAAATGGTGGCTAGCCGTTTTGTGTTAGGGGCGGACCATTAGAAATCCCGGGAGGGGGTGTGAAAATTCAAAAAAAAAAATTCATGCAAAGGAAAATGCCTGGAAAAAAAATTCGTGCAGCCATTACGTCAGAGAAAAAAAATTCATGCAAGCAAACAGCGAAGTACAAATAGTCTTGAAAAAAATTCGTGCAGAGGTTAAATGCATTAAAAAAAATTCCTGCAGAGACACGAGACTGAAAAAAAAATTCGTGCCGCAAAAATTTTATACCCCCCCTCCCGGGATTTCTAATGGTCCGCCCCTTAGTTACTACTTTGCATCAGTCAATTCCAGCTGTGACCATCACCCCCCCCCCTCCCCCAGGATAGTGTGGGGCATTTTTACGCTTTCTTGTCCCCACAGCCGGGCATTTGCAGCTGTGTGTTCACCCAGGGGCTGGGCATTTGTCAATATCGGGTTATTACCCCCGGGCATTTGTCCCTCATGGAGAAAAGACTGCGGCCCCGAGTTTCCTTTGTCATATCAGCCATTTCACAGAAATGACACATCAATGCCAAAAATTTAAATTAACACAATAGCTACTACAATGCTATTTCTAGTTGCTGCAGGACCTTACTCTCATTGAACCATAAAATTTTTTTCTCATGGTTGCCCCCAGGCATTGTGGGAAAGGCATTTAGAATGCCAATTAGTATGCAGCAATTAGAACAAATATTGTCCTTTTTAGAAAAGGTACATTTTTGGGGGGATAAGAACAAGTTTCTTTATTACTTTCTGGACACATATGATTATTTTACTATTTAAAGATATATTTAAGGGGAAAAAATTCAAAATGAAGAATCGGCTTTGTTTTAATAGACATTGAAAACACACTCATTTATGGGTCACGTGAGTCACAAATTACATCATAAAAGTTCACTCATTTCCTGTCAGCTTGAACTAATTTTTTGAGACAATCATAACTTGGTATACTTTTATTAGGTACTAGAAACTATCCACAAAATTATAAAAATATTATTGATAGTTTCTGAGAAAAATCACCCTCAAGCTTGGTCACGTGAGTCACAAAAATAAAAATTCATGTAGTTTTAGCACAAAAAATGTACCGGAAAAAGTTGCTACCAATTTCTTGAATGAATAATAGTGTTTTTACTTGGGCAACTATGTTTTGCCAGGTTATCAAGGTAAACAAAAATATTTTTAATGTTCTATCAGTTTTCACAGGGTTTCTAGGTGTAATGTGTTATTGGTCACGTGTGTCACATTTATCTCACATGATTTATGGTATGGAGTAACTTTGATTGAACATGCATAGTTCTGTCAACTATGATGCTAACCTAGCCAAAAAATGTTTCATTTTACATGTTTTAAACTGAGTTACTAGGTATTATTTGTCACTGGTCAAGTGAGTCACATTTTTGTGTCACGTGAGTCACGCTGCATACGTAAGATTATTTGCTAAACAAAAGATGACTTCCAAAAAAAATCAATTGAGAGTCATAGTGTCATGTCCTAGTATACTTTTTATGGAAGTTAGAAAAATATAAAATCCTTAAGTTACTAGGAAAATAGATAAGAATACCATTAGGTAGAATTTTTTCTTTTCTGACTGTCACGTGAGTCACAAAAAGTAAATGGCTATATCTGAGGCTGTGAGTGTAATTATCAGGAATTAAACAAATCATCTTGAATACCTCCCTAGGGGGTTTCTTGCCTGAAGTGAGTTTCGGTTTTGCTAAATCAGACGCGGCAGAAACATGCATTTAAATCCTAAACTTTTGTGACTTGGTCACGTGAGTCACGGTGAAATGGCTGAGCTATACAAGCAATTGCCAGTTGCATCAGATCTAAAAATATAACCAAAGATTACGTTATTATTATCTTTATAAAGTACATTTGCAGAGCTATTATCAGTCAATCAATACTCTATAAAGCATGTACACAATAAATACTTTTTATCCAACATGATCAAATATTTGAGATCAAATTTCTGCCACTTGAGGTGTTTTAATTTTATACACATAATGAATATGTATGCAGTATATAAAACTTTGGACCTAACCTCGCACAATTATGCAAATCGTACGTTCAATTCAACGATTTATTGTTCAAAATTCAAACCACTTTACCTTATTGTCATACACCTCTTTATAATCTCCTGAAATAGACGACGAGAATTCGAGAAATCAACACATCTCAGCTAGATAGTTTCGGCCAAGACAATTTTCTTGCATCCATCGAATTTATCTGCTTGAAATATTCTCCACAGAACACCAGTAAGCATTTCTTATCGTCACTTTCAAATAACGATCTAACCTTTTCGAAATCTACGTCGTTCATTTCGATAATAGTAAATAAATTGCTTGTAAAATTCTACAAAACTGCAATAAAGCTACCAAGTGCACAATGCTTCCAAATTGAAGATTAGAAGGCCAATCAGAGGAGATGTTCTTTAACTCTTTTGCGCAAATTGTCCAATCAGAGGCTGTTATCTATTTGCAGAATTAGTCAAAATAGTCAAAATTTCGCACTCGTTAGTCAAAATAGGTCTGACCAATCAACATGTCTGTAATGTGTAATCTGAGCAAATTTGACCAATCAAATCACATGAACTAAAACGCAGAATAGTCAATTTTCATTTGAATACCGCTTATTTGACTTATCGTTTGACTAATCAATCGCTGGCTCGATGTGCAAAAACTGATCGAAGTTTATATGCTGAAGTGTGATAGAGTTTTGATTGCGTGATCAGAAATGAAGAGAAGTGCTTGCGCTGGAAAAAAAATCAAAAACCTTAGTCCAAATTTTTTTATATGCCTTTTTTTTACGTTAGTCGCGTGACTAATCTGACTACCCCTAGATCCGCCCCTGCCAGAAAGTGCTATAAATCTGCTATTTCGCTTTCTATAGCAATTTTGTCAGTATAAAGTCCGTGTGAAAAATAAGAAGAAATTTTCGCGTGCAAAACAATGTGCTTGACACCACGCCCACAAAAGTTATTATTGCAAAACAAAAAGTTATGATTGACAAACTCATGCTGAAGAAACGTTTTAAAACGTAGTTATAAATGCACGCTTCACTGAAGCTCGAAAATGGTAGTATTATTAATTATTATTAAAAACTTATTTTACAACGGTTATCCTTCAACATGCACGCCTAGGATATTGATTTCCAAGGAGCCGTTCACACTATAGTAATTTATATTTACAAATGTAAGCAATACACAGTACAGAATCCTAAAGTTATAAAGATATCACACCTTAACTAAACACCTATTACTAGTTATAAAAGATATAAAACAATGCAAAACTGACTGGCCTTAGTTACATTTAATGTTTAATACGATCAAGCGCAGTCTTAAATTGCTTAATTGTGGCATCATTTGTTTTTACACACCTCGGTAAATTATTCCATGTTTTAGCGCCATTATAGCTAATGCTCTTCTTCATAAAATTTGTTTGAGGCTTTTGTAGAGTAAACTCATTTCCGTTGCGACGTAAATTATAATTAATGTTATTTTTAATTTCAAACAAGTTTATCAAATTCTCTGGTAATTCATTTCTCTTCGCTTTGTATAAAAATACTAAACTATTTTTTCCCAATGATCATGATCAACTAGGAGTTTCCAATCCAGTTCCTTCAAAATTTCGTTTGAAGGTGTGTCGTATGACCTGCCAGTTATGAACGTACCCTTGCTGCCCTATTTTGTATTTTCTGCAACTTACTGATCAGCTGATCACTACAGTTGCTCCATACAAGGCTGCAATAGTCAAAATATGGCAATACTAACGCATTGTACACCTTAATCAAAGTTGTTTTAGGGACACAGTTTTTAGTCGTCGTAGCATACCTATACCTTTTTATACTTTGCCAGAAATAAATTCAATTTGATTTTTCCATAGTAGTTGCTCATCAATAATTATGCCCAATGATATTGCGTGCTTAACCCGCTTAATTTTTGTATCCCCAAATTCTAAGATCGGGTCAGTTTGAACAGTCGATAATCTCTGGTGTGAACAATTAGCATATATTCTATTTTGTCTTTATTTAATCTCAATTTATTGGCCAACAACCAGTTGTTCATAAGCTCTAGGTCAAAATTGAATCGCCGTTGTAGTTCTTCTTTATTTAAGCTTGCAGTGGTTAGATTTTTGTCGTCGGCAAACATATTCGCTTTAGTATATTTTAAACAATTAGGAAAATCGTTAATCCCCGAGCCGGCGGCGCGAAGAGCCGTGCGAGGGTATTAATTCCCCCCGGCTATTTACACCCGGAGAAACGAAAGCATTAGCCAAGTCTAAAGTTTATCAAATATCGCGGGCGTGACCAACGAACCTTGAGTGGGTGGTCATCTTCACTAATCTCAAACATATGGCGGACTGTCATGGATAGCGAACACTGATTGGTCAAATTTAAAATTTGTTGTTGTATGACAAATGACGACTTCAACTGACAGATACTTCATGAAAATAATTTGCTTTTTACACTACAGTATTTTGTACGTTTGCAAAAAACTTTGACAGCTTTCAAAGCAATTTGTTCTATACAAAATTTAATAAAACAATTACGGTATCAAATACCAATTGAAAAGATATGGAGCCAAATGAAGAGCGGCAAGGAAACGACAAGAAAGCCGAAAGTCTAGCGAAAAGGAGGGAGCGAAGACGACAACGTTTGCTCGAGGAGACTGCTGAGGAAAGAGAAGCTCGCCTGGGAAAGCGTAGAGAAGCATGGAAAAGACTGCTGAAGCGAAAGGTAAGAAAAGGCTTGTCTTCACAACGCTATGTAGTAATGTACTAATGTTACTGTAGCTATAGAAGTTGAAGACTTAACGCGTTCCAAAGAATTTTGAACAATTCCAAACTTGTGATTTTCCGCACAGATTGAGGAAATTAACAAAAAGTCGCAGACTCGTCAATTTTAAGGAAATTCGCTTTTTTTGGCAGACACAATTTGACTGTCTGCACAAATACCCTTTTTATATCAAGTCAATGCAAGATTCCACTAAAAACAGTAAATACGCCAAAAGTATTTATAGGAGTGTCTGATATTCAGACTCCCCTATATCTTGCTTCCAAATCTAAGAGAGTCTGAACTTCAGACACCCTTATAACTTGCTTCCAAGTATAAGGATGTCTGAAATTCAGACACCTCTATATACAGTATATTGCATCCAAATATAAGGGTGTCTGAACTTC